CTAGTTGATGACATGCGTCTTTTAAAAAAAAATTCCTTTAATATATAGTTAGATTAAAAATCATGTTAAGATCTTTAAAATAAGATCTACATTGAATATAATATTTATTTATTTTTTAAAAAAATTAATTTTAGTCATTATTAAAAATCAAATATGAAAAAATTAATACTTCTATGATTAAATTAAACAATTACGAAACTATAAAATTTTAAACAATAACATTTAGACATTTAGTATAATGGTTAAAATTGCTCTACGAGCAACAAAACAAATTGTTGAATATTCACTAAATTCGGTGCAAATTATAGTATAATGGTTGAAATTGCTCTACGAGCAACAAAACAAATTCTACTAGTAAAAAATATAGGAAACCTTTGAGAAATAACAAAGAAGCTTTTGGAGTTTTTTTTTTGGTAAATTGTTGGAATGAAAATATGGAACGGCTGAGGGAGAGTAGAGAACGGCATTGCACAATTCAGATTTGATTGGAGAGTAAATTAAATTCACCGCGTGTGAATTTTTATTCAGATGGAGGAAAAATGTGAAAAATTATCCATGGCATTTTTTTTTAAATTCAAAAAATAAAAATAAAAATAATTAGTAGGCAAGAAAGATTAAAATTGGGTAAAACATACGGGAACTTTCTTTAAACATCTGAAACTCAGCAGACTTCTTTGCAATAAGCCAAGGAAGTGAGGGGTTTTTCTATAAATTGTTATTGAAAGCTTCCAAATTAAAATCGGCTGATTCTTTTACTTCCTTCCTTCCATCCTTCCATCGCCGGGAAAAAAACGTAAAGCCCGACGCCGCCTTCTTTTTTAGCTACCGATAAGGCTGCGAAACCACCCTTAAGACTGAGCTATAACGTCCGCCGGCGCTTCGCCTACTCAAGACCGAAAAAGGGAGATGTCCAAGACGCTGGTTCAGCCCATTGGGCAGAAGAGATTGACGAACGTGGCCGTAGTTCGTCTCAAGAAACATGGCAATCGCTTTGAAATTGCTTGCTACAAGAACAAAGTTCTTTCTTGGCGTTCAGGCGTGTAAGGCCCACTAACCCGTTTTGTTTTTCTTTCTGAAGTTTTCTTCTGTCAATTTTTTTTTTAATATTAATATTAAAAGTATTGATTTCTTTTCTTTCTTTTTTTTTATGGGTTTCTTGTAGAGAGAAGGATTTGGATGAAGTGTTGCAATCCCAGACGGTTTATTCCAATGTCTCTAAAGGGGTATTGGCTAAATCCAAGGATTTAGTGGCTGCTTTTGGGACTGATGATCAGGCCAAAATCTGCTTGGAGGTTCGTTTTATGTTCCAAATCTGTCCTTGTGGTTTACTTCTTCATTGGCTCTTCAGTTTTAGTGCTGTGATTTTTACTCAGTCATGCCGAGTAGCCTGTGTTCTATTGCATCGATTGGAAGTTGTTGGTTTGATGCATTAATATTCTCTTCTTCCATTTTTGTTTCTTCTTTCTTTAAATTTCAGTAAGTAAAATTCCATTGCCTTATAGTAATTTTTTATTGGCTATGACAATTTGTTTGTCACCGCTGTGGTTCTCTCAATATGTACATGCAAAGGCCTTTGTTCTCTTGTATACCTGATTTTGTCTTGTTTTTTCCGTTTAGTCTCTTGCATTTTTTGTGCAGGTTTTTGGGTTCAACAGACATCATTTGTTGTAAAAAGTAGGAAACCTTGAGAAATAAGGCTCCTTATTGTGACCACCTTTAAAGTAAAGTTGTTAATGGCATCAGTATAAGCAAACTCTATATATGCATTTGGAGATTCTTGGGGATGATCTTTGAAGCTTTTCCCTCTGTATTTGGACTAGATAGGCTGCTTTTTAAGAACTCCTGCAGGAGTACCATGTTCTTCTTTGGCCGAAGAAAGTTCCATTTGTTTGGTTGTTGAAGTCCCTTTCTAGCATACATTCAGTTGTATACTTCTCTTGTGCAGATTTTGGAGAAAGGAGAACTACAAGTAGCAGGGAAGGAAAGGGAGTCCCAGTTGTCAAGTCAATTTAAGGATATAGCTACTATAGTTATGCAGAAGACTATCAATCCAGAAACTCAGCGACCTTATACCATAAGCATGATTGAACGCCTCATGCATGAGATCCATTTTGCTGTTGATCCAAATAGTAGCTCAAAGAAACAGGTAACTTGCCGTTTTCTTGTTCAAGTGAAGGAAAAGAAGTTCAGTGCATGTCATATTTGCATTAGAGCCATACATTGCTTCCATATTTCATATTTGAGGTGGTGTAAAGATCTGTTCTCACTGTTTTCATTGATAACTTAATGCCTTATATTTGCTTTTACAGTTTGGTAAACTCTTAACCTGATGAGACGTACACCTCACACATGTTTCCGTATGATGATTTCATTTGTGCACACAGTAGTCCTAACCTGTTTCCACAATACATCTAATTCACTACTCAACACCAGATCTTCTTTCTTTGTTTCTCTCGATGCTTGGTTTTAGTTTTTTTATGACTTCCGTCCCCTCTAAACTTTTGTTTAACATTCTTTATCCTTGGAAGCCCTTGGTTTAAAGTACTGATATTTTCATGTCCTAGTGCTGTAAAGCAAGGGATACCTCCTCAATCATGCATACTTCCATTGGTTGAAGACATTTCTAAGTGCATGCCTGTATCCAACTTATATATCGTGAAGCATTTGTGCATCTGGACTCTTATGAATGGTTGACAAACAGTGACATCCCTTTCGTTAGCCTTATTGAAGTTTACAACTGATACAGCTATAGTGCTCATCCAAATTGTATTCTCTAGATTTGATTCAACATCCGCAAGTAGTTTTGATTGTCCTCTAGTACTTGTAAGCATATGGAAAGTAAACAACAGAATGAGTAATTCTTAGCAGCGTGAAGAGAATGTTTGGAGAACCTTGTTGTTGCTTGAAACAGTTATCTTATTTGATTTATGGACTTCTTTTATCATAGTAGTTGCACATCGTTCATCTTGCTGGCATGGAGAAGTTGACAATTTAGTCTTACCACCTGCTGTGCAATGCAGGCTTTGGAAGTCATTCGTGAGCTTCAGAAGCACTACCCCGTAAAGAGGTCTCCCATGAGGTTAAGACTAACTGTCCCAGAGCAGAACAGTACCTCTTTGATGGAGAAACTCAATGGCTGGAATGTTAACATTTTGGCAAGAGATGTATCTGGGAGCCAATTTTCCATTGTAAGTCTGAATTAGTTTCCTAGCTTCTGCTCAATCGTGACTTTTGATTGCTGACAGCTTACAGTGCCTTTTAACATAATTGTGGTTGTTTTTGGTAGTTATTTTTTTTTAAAAAAATTTTCATAGTATTTTGTGACTCATTAGCATTTGTGGTCTTGATTTTTTTTGCTAGAATTATCATGTTTTGTGTCATCTCTAGACAACACTGACTTATTCCTGAGATTGTGTTTCTGCATATGATCTTGAGAGACACCTGGATTACCTAATATGACTCTTCATGACTGTGATTTTCCTTTGAATGATGAGAAGTGCACTGTGATAAACTAACAATGTGACATGGAACAATATTTCTAACTTTTGTATCGTATGAGTAGAATAATGTAAGAGGAAAGGATCATTAAATGCATCCAAGGATGACCAAGTGGTGACTTACTTCTTTATCTTGATAAAAGCATAAAAATGAAAGACATTCACTTCATAAAGAGAAGAAATTGGAATGTGTTGAAGAATCTCATCATGTAATTAACAGAAAAGAGGTTAAGTTCTGAGTAATTATTATTTTATTTATGTATAATGACTGACTTTACCTAAAGAATTCTTTCCCGTTTGCTTGGAAATTAGTGCTGTACTCCTTTTTTTTGTGTCCTATTGATATTCTGCTGGATTATGAACGTACTGAATGATGAATGATCCACTAGTGTGAATCATTAGTGAATGATTGATTTTTTTGGTCCATGTAACTATGAATGTAGTGAATGATTGATTTTCAACCACTAGAGTGAAAGCAAAGGCACGCGTTGTTCTGTCTATTAATGCACTTTCTGTCGTCCATTTATGACCCAGACTTGTGAATTGGAGCCAAACCTTTTCCGTGATTGTGATGCTGCTGTGAGGAATATGCAAGGACGATCAGAGATTCTTGCAGTTAATGTGCATTTGGACAGTGACACCCATGTGGACAATTACGATGAGTATGAAGATGAGCCACCTAGGGTTCGCAAGGATCCTGTAGATTCTGTTCCCCAGCTGAGTGAGAAAATGCAGAAGCAGTTTATTTCTAATAAAAGTGGGAATTCTGATGAAGTAAAGCAGAATAAGTGTGCTACGTGTAATGCCTTTGTGGGTGATGCAAAAGAGTACAGAGAGCATTTCAAGAGTGACTGGCATAAACATAATCTTAGGCGAAAGACCAGGCAACTGCCTCCTCTCACTGCAGAAGAATGCATGGCTGATGTGGATCTTGAAGACTCTAAATCTGACCTAAAGGACTATTCGTTTTGAAATCTCTCTATAATCAAGTTTGTGGTGGATCAGCTGCTTTTCTGTAAAGTCCTATGCGTAATGTAATGAACCTTGTTAAGACAACCTAGCAAACTTTTTTTATGAAATATTGTGTAGCTGCACCATAAAGCTTATTAGGTACTGAAGAAGAAAACTTTGAATGTAGTGAGAAACTGCTACTCTACTCCTGAAGATATATATATATATATACTCAGCTTGTCCTTTTCTCGTACAGTAGAATAAAGTGTGTATGGATACATACATGTGTCTTTGTGTTTGTGCGTGCGTGTATGCCTGGACTTCTAAATTAATGGAATCTGGTATTATATTAGACTGCAAGACAGTACTTTATAGGTTGAAGGATACAGATTGTGGAAGGGAAGTGAGCAAGTTTCGGCAGATTCTTGCGGCAGAAAGTTAATGAAGAGTTATTCATGCTCCTCTAGTCGTCTATCGTATAGGTCACCTAGAAAATGACAGCCTTTATTCTCAAGCATCCAGAGGCTCAGCAGCAGCAACAGGTAAACTCATTTAAGTCTTTGTTGCTTTGTTTAGAATATCTGGTAAACTGAAAGATATTGTCTTTCTTAGTTTTCTTTGCGGTCCCTGGAATGATGGCAATCTAAGTAGGTATAGTCCGCAGTAGTCCCAAGTCACTGGCCTAGGCAATAGAGCAACTCTTTGGGCATAAATGATGAGAAATTTCCCCGATCTTAATGCATCCTGCATATGGAAATTGTCGATATCAAACGAATTTTCCTTCTGCGTCTTACCTAAGATCAAAAACCAAAGAAAAGGTTAAAGTTGAACCACCTCTCGTAGCCGAACAACTTTTGAGGTCTCGAACTAAGATGCTATTATTCTGCAGATTTTCCTCACTAAGGGGACCAGAAAAACCTGCAACAATCATTGACAATTAGGACAGGAATCTAGATCAAACCATTTTTAATAAGAAGAGTTCCTCTTTTAAGAGTTTAGGAATTACTTAATTGGCAAATATTACTTAATCTTACTAAATTTGTTTGTATCTCCCCTCTTTGTTTTTCTTTTTGGTAAAAGACTAGAAGAAGATGGTATCTAATTATCTATAGCTTTTTTCTTCTTATTGCGCTGATGTCTGATGTTTGTCTACGAAGATTGCATTTAAATGGCGCTAGCAATTAATGTCTACAATTTGATAACTGCGATTAGATTGAGATACGTATAAGGATTACCATCAAGTAGAATTGTGGTTTAAAGAGTTGCTGATAGCGTGGTCCACTAGTGCCAATGACATTTATCCTCTTTTCTGTGTTCTTTTCTTTCTTGGATGAAGGGGTGGTGCATCAGTTGGGCCACTGTGGGACGTGAGCAAGGGTTTTGTTGGAGGCAGAGTTTGATGAAACTTACTGCTTCTTCAGAGAGTTCATTAGGGAGTTCAGGAATTTCTTGGTCATGTGCTATTTTGAAAATTGCAGACTCCTGTCAAATTGCAACACAAAAGTTTCTCACGGGGTATAAGCTGCTGCCAAATCTTGGAGATCAAACTCATTAAACTAATTTATACCACTTCATATTGGCTCCAAGGAGGTTTGGTCGCGGCCATCTCAATAACAAGACATCCGAGGCTCCAGATATCAGCAGGTAGGCCATCAGCTCCACTGTCTTCTATAAGCTGTACAGACCATATAAGTGGAATAAGAAATAATGCCATTGGAGTATTTAGGAATGCTTACATACACTCCAGAATAAGATAGAATGTACATTTTACAACCTCTGGGGCCATCCAATATGAGCTTCCTTGAACAAAGAGCATCGATGAGCATGACTCTTGCTGAAAAGCAGGAACAAAGTGATGCAGATAGAAATAAATAGGTGGTTCTAATTCCTTGATCCTGCCAGACTTTGGGGTTCAATCCCTTGGGTTAGGCAGAGAGATTAAAAATTAGACTATGCACATACATGTTTAGCCATTCCAAAATCTGCGAGCTTGACGTCGCCTTTAGGAGTTATGAGGATGTTGGCCCCTTTAATAGCCCTGGTAGGAGAACCATGACACGGTTAATTTCATCAACTCTTTGAAGTTAGCAGAAAGTCTCAAGTGAAATTATAGCAGAACTGTAACCGGTCTGCCATGTTTGAAGCTTCCTACCTGTGAGCGATGTTTCTGTCATGCAAGTATGCTAGGCCACACAAGATTTTCCACATGTAACTCTGAATAATTTTTTCGCTAAATGGTCCATATTCCTTAAGCAGTTTGAGTACTGAACCTCCTGAGACGCACTCCATATAGATTGACAGTTTATCTTGTTCCTGCAAAAATATCAATCAGAGTGATAAAACTCACCAACAAAGACAACTTTTAGCTAAAATTATAACTGGAAGTAAAGTTCTGAAACTCTTACTAGCTGACTTTCGAGATATTGCACGATATTGGGATGTGAAAGCTGGCTTAGCACTTCTATGTCCTGTTTATTCAGTGAAACAATAGGCAAAATTGTGGGCATGTGAGCGTTATGAGAATGATCAATGATGTGCCAAAGTAAGTTCATGAAGTATAACTAATCGATAATATAAAAGCATACCTGATGCAGTTGTTGGAGAAGTATTTTCGATATATGAGGATTGGAAACTATTCCAATTTCCTTTATCGCACACATTTTACCGTTTTCACTGCAAGTGTTTGTGAGTAGATCATTCATTAGGCCTTCCTTTTCAAGATTCACATAATAGAAAGTAGGTTTTATCACCCTTAGTACCTGTTGAATCCAGCATAAACACGACCAAGTGTCCCTTCTCCCCAAAGTTTTCCCTTCTTCCATTTTTGATCTTCAACTGCAGAAAATGTGATTGGAGAAACCGGTGGGCGAGGTAGACAATGAGTTGGATGATGACTTAAAGTTTTACTGGTTTCTGTTTGGAACTCGAAACTCCTATCGCTAACTGGATGTTGCAACGAGGAGAAGAATGACCTCGAATATCTTGTCGCAGCACAGGAGGTAATTGGCCAGGAACTAGGTCCACTTTCAACACTCTTTCTGATCAACATGTCTCAACTCAGTTCAGCTAGAACATTCTGCTTGAGAACATTTTACTTTTGAAAAAAAAAACTATGTGAGTTACCAAATGTAGACAGTTTATATACCAACCTGGATGTGGGAAATGAGCCATTTTCACTGAGGAACTCATTGTCATTGCGATTATCTGAAACAGAAGAGCATGAAGAGCTGGCGCTGAACCTCGTTGATGGATCAGGTGAATTCAATGGCAAAGGCAAAGGCAAAGGGTGGCCAGTTTTATGTGAAATTTGTGAACCACAAAATGATGCTTGAAAAGAAGCTGCACAAGCACCAAAATCATCTAGTTCCAGTCTACTTCTTGGACTTTGTTGCATTACAAATATGGCTTCTGCCATGGACCTAATTGGTTTATCTTTATCTCCTTCTTCATCATGATGTTGAATTCTTCTTCTTCTTCTTCTCAAACATGAACAAGGCATGTTTTAGCAAAGGGAAGTTAAGGTTTAGTTTGATGTGGTTAAGGTTTTTTTTAAGTTCATATGGTTAAGGTATAGCTCAGATATATTCCCTCGTTCCAAAATGTGTCCACCCTCAAGTGGGATTTGGCAACTTGAATTTGTCTAAGCCGGCTTCTAAAATTTGCAAACTACTTGCCACTTGGCAGGAGGGAGTTCATCCGTTCATTGACATTTTCCCAAATCTTCACAAGTAAAACTTTTTTTTTTGTTTTGTTTTTTTTTTTTTTTGCCTTGAAGTTCTTTTCTTTGATGTCGTTAATGTAATCCAATCATGATCATTGTAGGAAAATATGGATGATACAGAGAACCTCATTATCTCTGTTTTCTTTAATGACAAAAATTTTATGAACCATGTAGTTTATTGTACTTAGATTAAACTAGGTTTATTGTATCAATATAATACAACTTTACAACAAAGTATTTGATCCCAATAAACATTATAAGGGAATTAAAAAACAATGCAATAATATCTCAACTTCATTCCAGTACTCTTTCCACAATCATATGTCGAAAAGTAAATCAATAACACAACTAAGTCCATATACTTTCATTACTAGCTTAATAATCATATACATTTTATAGTTTTTTTTTTAGGAAAATCTAGGGCGGTACTAGGTGGGATGACCCCGATTTTATTAATTTAAAAAAAAATTACGAAGGACAGTGCTTAAGACTTAACCAACTTAAAAAAAAACTGTTTTACAAGCATTTCCTAAAAATTTCACGACGGATTTAGTGCAAATTATCACTAAGTAATTGCCTTACAAAGATAGTCTATAATCCCCTCGCAGTATTTTATTAAATTAAAGTAAACTAAGAGGTATCTGACAAAGATTTATACTACTAATCTCATGATAGCTCCATAAAAATCTCATGATAGCTCTATAAAAAACAACAACAAAGAAAAAACTATCTAGAGCTTCCTATTTAGTAATGAGTTCATTTAACACGCAGATAGGGAGTGGATTGTTTATCGAGAAGAAACAATCCATAAGTGTATGCAGGAAGTTGAGATTGATAATTACATGTAAAAGATGTTCCTACAGGATGCGACCTTAGCCAAAGAGTCAGCCATAACTTTCTCCTCACGGTAAATATACATAGGTGTTTATGCATTCCTGTCCAAGGTGGCCTTAACTTCACGCAATATGGATCTACTCTTCCAAGGGAAAGGAGATTGAGAATTAAGAAGATCAATCAGAACCTTGCTATCTGATCTTACTTGGACTTGTTGGAGTTGTAGTTGCTCACATTGTTTTAAACCAAGTGCCAATGCTTCAACTTCAGCTTCATAACTTGTGCGGTTGCCTAGATGCTGACCTCCCGCTATGAGTAAATGCCCTTCATGGTCCCTAATGATATAGCCTAAACCCGCTTCTTCTGGAGTAACATGTGATGAGCCATCAACATTCAGTACATAAACTCCTCTTGGTGGGAAATTTCATTTGACAACTTTGACTGTCTTCCTCTTCGGTTGTGCTATCTTTATGTTGAAAGCATGTTCAAGAAACTTTTGTTCCGAAACTGTTTTAACTTTTAGCTCATGCACACGAAGAAGGTTAGAAACATGATCATATATTACAAGCAAGACAGCATTAGAGTTGAAAGTTTTCCCTTTATATAAATAATTGTTTCTAGCCTTCCATAATTCCCAAAGAATAAAGGAAGGTAGAATAGATATTACAGTTTGCAAAGCAGAGGAGAAATTACCAGCATGATACCATGATTTTAGAAAAATTTTTAAACCTGAGGACCAAGATGGTGGTAGACCTAGAATTGCTGCAAAATGTTTCCAAATGTATCGAGATTGTTGACATGAGTAAAACACATGTTGTATGGTCTTGCTTTCGGCTTTGCAGAAAGGACATCTCGAAGGTAATGCACAAAAGCCTATTTTTGATAGTTCAACTGCAAAAGGGAGAAGATTATTAAGCAGCCTCCAAGTAAAAAAGGATATCCGAAGAGGGATAAATTTATTCTAAATAAACTTAGAGAAAAGAAAAGGATTTTGAGACTCCCTGATATTGTGATATGCCGAGGCTAAAGAGAAATCCCCAGTTATAGTTGGCCTCCATATGTAAACATCTTCATCTTCGTTGAAGATAAGATCAATAGCTTCCAAAATAGTCACAATTTCAGCAGGTAGTGATTTGCGGAATATCTCCACATACCATTCTTTTTTATCATAAAATTCGCGAACTGTCGGAGACTTGTAAGGCCTTATGGTTGTTGGATTTAGTTTCTGGGAGATATCGAATTGAAGCCAATTATCAAACCAAAAATTGCTGCCTCCATTGCCTATGTTAACGTGCGAGTTGGCAATCCCTAGATGATCAACTTTGGAGACTCGTTTCTAACTTGTTTTTTTTTTTTTTCGAGCTTGGGGATAATGAATTTATAAACCTTGCCCAAATCCCTTTCCTTGTCTTTAACTTTCACCATAATTTCAAAGAGAAAGAATCAATGCATTCTGAAACTTTCTGAGATCAGCCCATTTTCATCATAAGGAAAAATAATATGTTCCCCATGCTCTCCAATGTCAATTTTGTTTCCCTTCTTTCTCTCCCATATACATTTTATAGCTAATAGCCCAATACTAATAACTAATAATGTCTTAGAATATATCTCAAAATGTTTGTTTTCAACAAAGGAATGACAAATATGTTTCCCAAGGTTCTTCCCAAACAGGGGTGTAATTGAAAAGATTTGCATTTTTAATAGATTGAATGTAAGAAAACAAATATGCAAGGGTGTTAATGTAGAATATTATCTTTAAATGTGTAAAAGGAGAAATTCAAAAGTTAGTTGAAGTAGGTGAAAGAAGGGGAAAAACCCTAAACCCTAAAACCCCTCTCTAAACCCTCCCCTGCTTTGTGCTCGGAGGCTTTATTTAACTACCAGTCGTTTGAGCTCAAACTCAAAAGCTCTCCGACTCTCCAAGGATATTCTCCGCTTCCGAAAATTCGATTCGAACCAGTGATTCTTCAGTCTATTCAGGTTTGGTACATCTTTTCCATCAATTTGTATGTTAGGGTTAAATGGCTAATTGAAATTTTCTGTTAATTCCGAGTATCTATTCAGAAAGAACGCAGAAATTAGAATGCTGTGGAACCCCATTGTCAATTTGATTCCAACTAATGAACCAGGTACACTCTGTAAAAAGAAGAAAAAGGAGCAGATAGAAAAAGCAAATCGAAATGCCGCTCGGAGAGAGGCCTGGTGATGAAAGAAGCGAGACCAAGTATTGTGGAGTTGAGACGGATTTCAGCAATGACATGCCTCTAGTTCTTAACTTCAATATCCATGGTGGATTTGATTTTGTGGTCGCCCCCTTGGTTAGTCTCTTTCAATTGCTGAATCAGTGGTGGTTAATTGTTACATTATTGTTTAGGAAGCACCGCCTCTAATCTTATTCAGTTTTGATTTGTCGATTTCGATTGTTTGGCAATGTTGGAAACTGTATTTCTAGTGTGTGATGTGCTATCAATTTTCTTTTCCATTTGTTTGATGGGCTTGTGTGTTCCTGTGTATCTGCATGTTACGGAAGTTAATTCGTCAATACATTTTAAGGGTGATCAATTAGCCGCTCACGCCAAATTAGCCCTTGTGGCTGTATTATACTGTGTGAATGGTCAGTAATTCACCAATAGCATACATGTGCGTATAGCTGCTATCAGATTGAGAATCTCGCATATATTTTCATCAGATTTCTCAAAGGCACTTGTCACAACATGAAAATATGTATTTTTATATGTTTTTGAGTTTTAGATGTACATATGCTCATGCAAACATATGTTCATGAGATATTATTTTGGTCATTCTTTTTCTCGGTGATTAATTTGTCATTGATATTGATTGTGCTACTTGTGCCTATGAATAACATGAACCGAAGTGGACAATGTTACTGGAAAAGTTGAAAAAAAGAGCATTTTGGCATACTGCATTCAAGCCTTGATGAGTTACATTGACCTCAATTTGATTATGTGTTTTCTCGGTGATTAATTAGCCACTCACACAAATTTGATTTTGCATTTTATCATGTGTGAATGGTCAGTAATTCACCAAGAACATACTGTGTTAAATCGCCTTCATGTGAGAAACATTGTTGTTGTTTCTGGTTCTCACAAAAGGTGCTTGACACCACATTATTATCCTGATCCCTCTAGAAAATATACATACTCATTCTCCACTTCATAGAACTCAGGAGAATATAGGTGATCAATTAGCCGTGAAAATCATGGGCTGAGTTGGAAGATGCAACACATTTTATTTATTTATTTATTTTTTTAAGAAGAGCTCTTGCAATATGAGTTTTTTTACCTTAATTTTGATCGTGTCTTTTCTCGGTGATTAATTAGCCACTCACAGAAATGTCAACCCGTGTGTGAATGGTCAGTAAATCACCTACATCATAGTCCTGTGTTAACGCCTTCACATTGGGAAGCATTGGATTTACTTCTGGTTTTCACAAAGGTGTTCAACACGACATTGTAACTTGAATTACTTTGAAATTGTATCTGGGTTTTCAGACTTCCATTATAACAAACACTTTAGGCTCTATTTTCATTGTGGATAACATGAAGGTGATAGAAGTTTTAAGTTATTATCAATTGATGCTTCTATGTAAAATGTAGAAACAACGGCATGCTTCTGGACTTAATGAGCATGATACGCAGTTGAGTTAATTAGGCTCATTTGTATTGGGTTATCAAGGATGGGCTTCAAAACATTTAGTAGTGTATAATTATGGGAGGCCAAATAAATTTCTTTGAAAACTGTGCCTATCCGACAAATTTTCCTTTTATTATATTATAGCATGCCCTACTTAGCCTCTTCATTTCCTTGTACACCTTCGGATTGGCATAATCCAAACTGGATGCAAGTGTGGAATCCTTGCCCAACAGATAGAGAATATTGGACTCTACATCAAAGTGCATGAATGAGATAAGAGGAGCACAAAAAAGGGGGACAATAACTCACTCTAGTCATTCACTTTAAAAAGGAAAGTAACGTTACCTGCTCTTGCCTGTTGGACTATGCTTTATTGATGTGGTGTCTGTGCACTGTAAATCTTAAAAATGCTGGGTTTCAGAATGACATGGTTATTTAACAGTATGCAAAAGACCTGCCAGTTTGTGTGCTTGAATACTTTGTAGGATATGGATCTTATTTTTGGTCCAACACAATTAACTTTCCTTATAGGTGTCTGGAGTTGGTTTTGGTTTCTCATGATCTGTGGTTGAACTCTTTACTTGTCCACAAATCTTGCATGGTATTAGGATGCTAAGAGGTGAAACTATTTTGTAGAAGCTTTTACTTTTGTATCCCCCATCCCTCATCCTCCCCCCCACCCCCCCACCCCTCCCCCGGCCCGGAAACTGTTTTGTGAGGTGCTCTCTTGTTTGCTTTCTTAAAATCTTATTGTCTGATTGACATTAAGCTGTTGTCATATTACAATTGTTCCGGTTGGAGGTTGCGGGACATTTATATCCTTTCCCTTATGAGGATTAATCATTCAATAGTTTTAGCATCGCTTATTTCTTAAATATTCTCCAGTCAGTTTTTACCTTTTTTTAAAAAAAGTAATTCTACTACTGAACATTATCATAAGCTGCTGATTTAGCTGGAAAGAGATAACTCTACTGTTGTTAGTGTTTCCATTCTCACCCAAATTGTTATGATGCAGATGGATCCATCTTACAGGCCTAGTTTAATAGATCATAGCAGCAAGGAAGGTGGTGCTCTACCGTTTGCTAGTTCAGACTTGGTACTAAGCCCCTCACAATGGAGTGGTCATGTTGTTGGTACGTATCTATTCACTGTGGGCAACTTAAAATCATGTATCCCTACATACAAGTGTGATTTGCTTTCGTCTTCTTGTTTCAAGTAAAAGGTCATAACTAATATGAGCTGAGTTTCATTCTTTTTAAGTTGTATGATGTCTTAAATATGTTGTTATTCGAAATTGGTACTTGACAGTGTAAGAATCTGATACTTATTAATCTGAGAGTTTTCTTCAATGGCTAAAACTGTCAATACAAATGGCAGCTTGTTTTTGTTCTCTTTATTACGTTATATCTGGGTTAGTAGTAGAACTTGTGTATGTTATGCTTATAAAATATATCTTCCCATTTTATGGTGATGGTTTATTTTCCGGTCAGTATGAATCCATTTTACATGTTATCAATTTATATTCCTCCACTGTATTCCTTATTTTGGTGTAGATCTGAAGAGTGATTGTTTCCAGTGAATCAGTCTCTCCTTGTGGCCCGGTACAAAATTTTGAATGTTAGAACTCATGTAGAGCCTAATATTTGCAGACATAATTTTTCTTTGTTTGCGTGGTTAATCTCAGATGGTTCTTCTATTTGCATATCATAATATGTCCAGGTCATGCAATAGCTTATAGGCTTTTCCTAGTATAATTTCTGTTTTAATGACCATAAGTTCTGGATTCTTTCTGATATTACTTGTAAGATTTTCATTTTAGGTTTACACAATTTCATATTATTTGCATCGTGTGTGGACATCTTTAATTAGGAAATCCTTGACTTATATTGACTTCTGTTTGTGTTTGTTTTCTTTAAATGCTTTCTCATTTATGGTTATGTCTAATAACACTTACGTTCGTCAGGAAAGATTAGCTCTTGGATTGACTTGGATTCCGAAGATGAAATTCTTCGCCATGATTCAGAAGTAACTTTGAAGCAGGAAATATCTTGGGCCTCTCATCTCTCTTTGCAGGTATTTATACACTATCTAAATCATCATTGTATGACCTACTTAGTTTAACTAAAACACCACTTTGAGTACTTTCTTCACGTATGAATCAGCATGAAATTTTAACTTGAAGCTTTTAGCTTTTGGTTCGTTTGGCACGATTGCCAAGTATGTAGCCTTTGTGTTTTGATTGGATGTTGAAAGTTAGATCCTAGTTTTATGAACTTGAAAGGGTATATCCGGGACCTTGTTCTTTGATCTCTTGGTTAACCTTAGCCGTGTTCTGCCTTCAACCATTTCATGGGAGCTCATATTACAGCGATTTCCTGGTGGTTTGGGAACTTCTTTAATGTTCTAAAATTTCTGGATGATTGCCAGTTCAGTCCTATGCATCCAGCTTGAATTAACACTTGCTGTTGTAAGGACTACAGGTCCAAGGTCTGTAATCCGGGTGCATCATGCATTGAGTTTGTGAATAGTTATACATAGTTCTTGAAGGCAAGGAGAGGAGAATTCAATTTCTGGTGATCAAAGATGAGCACCTTGGGGTAAAGGAAATCATTGGATTTTTTTGGGGGGGGGGGGGGTGTGGGGTGCAGAGGAGGAGGTCTTCCATGTTTGAAATCTTGCATTCAACTGTTTAAAAACTCTGTGTCATCTCATGTTCTAAATATAACCTGTGTGCCACTGTGAGGAGAGCTGCTTGGATGCCCGAACTAGTTAGTAGACAAGGATACAGAAGCTTTCTACATACTGCATAATCCATCTTAATCCATCTTACACTACCAAGTTTCTGCACTTCTGTACAACGGCATAGTTTTCTGTTTCGCAGGCATGCCTTCTTCCGTCACCTAAGGGATTATCCTGTGCAAATTATGCGAGATGCGTGAATCAAATCCTTCAGAATCTTACCAGCATGCAGGTGCTATTCATATCCTTGTTTACAGTTGATTAGTTACTTAATTCTTCTACCTGTCATTCTCTTATCATGTATTTTCTAATGCTTCTTTTTTGTTTACGGTTTAACCTCCTAATTTTCATGTAAAAGTTGTGGCTTAGGATTCCACTGGAGAAACCTGATGATGATTCCAATATGGGAGACGTTGATCACATGGTGAGTACTTTGATAGTTGGTTTAAATTTTCAGTTCCTTAGCTTATCTAAGAAAGCACAAGAATGTTTCTAGCTTACCTGTCATAATTGTTTTAATCACCTTGGATCCTGGAACATGAGGGGAAGATATGATCTATCTTGTGAATACGATATAGTGAAATAAAGGCTCAGTTATCATATCCTCAAGCGGGCATGGAACTTTTATGGTGCAATGAATTACATTCAATTTTAGCCTTTAATTTTAGTTATTTATGTGCCTATATTGCTACGTTGATTGCAGATTGATTCTTGGGAGTTGTGGAATTCTTTTCGTCTGCTATGTGAACACCACAATCAGTTGTCCGTTGCTCTTGATGTGTTGTGAGTATTTCCTATCCTCTTTATATCTTCAACAAATCCACCTTAACGTTCGGAGAGTGATGGTATTTTGGTACATTAGGTCTTCTTTACCTTCAGCAAGATCGTTAGAAAGGTGGTTTGGAGAGCCTGTTAGAGCAGCAATTATCAGTTCCAATGTAGGCGTGTTAATTTTTATTTATTTTTTTAATTTTTGGCCTATGCTTGATTTATATATTTATTTTTACAAATTTATTTTGTTAATCGGTTTTTTCTACTTGCAAGTCTTTTTTGACGAATGCAAGAGGCTATCCTTGTCTATCGAAGCGCCACCAAAAATTGATGGCCGAATTTTTCAACAATTCAGTTCAGGTAGCCTTATTGCTCAAATTGTACCTATTATATATTTTCTGTCCTTCTTTATTGTTTTTCTCAACTATATCCCATTTATTTTTCTAACTACCTCCTGTAGTTGCTTGTGTTCCCCAATCCCCCACGTTGTATTCAAATATTATAACATTAACATTTTCGTCAATGCAGTTTTCTCTGTGGCCCTGATAATGTTAACCTGTTAGCATAGTGGATAGGGTGTGGTTATCATGCTACAGTCTAGAATGTCCTTTGTGTATTTAGATTCTATTATTTCTCAGTTTTTACCTTTCTATCCATAAACCATTTCTTCCTCTAATAGTCGTGTTTTCTCCAACAAACTCTTTCCTCATGGACATAATGTGGAGTTTAAACATATTGGATTCTTTGCCTTTCTTTTATAATGTTATTTTCCTCCGGAAATTTGTTTCAGGTGGTGATTTCTGGGGGCGAAACACAGAGCATGCATTCTAGGGTCAGCAGTTCTCATGAAGACAATGATGGTATCTCCTAGTTGTCTATATAATGAAAATAGTTGTAGAAATTATTTTCTTCATGGGTCATTTTAAGGCTGAAGAAAGGTTTTGGTGCTTTTGATGGTTATGTTCGTTTATGACTTTTAATTTACGAAATTATTTTACTTTCCCTAGTCTGCATATCCACTGTATTTGATCGTTTAAGGCATGTTTTGTAAGTAAATGATATGTTGGTTACCATGTACATTGTTTTCAATGTCTTATTTTCTTCATGATCAGGTGTTAACCGACATCCTTTACGGTCATATTTGGACTACGTTGCTTATCTGTACCAAAGGATGGATCCTCTTCCTGAGCAAGAACGCTTTGAGGTACTTTCTTCTCCCAAAGCATGTAGATCCTGTTCGATAACACCACTTATCGCTTAAAATTATTCAATTGAGTACTTCCTAATTTCAGCATGTTTGATAACAAAAACTTAACCTCTTAATGAATTTGGTGGTGCTGAAACCGCAGTACAGAATATAAGCAATAAAAGTTAGCAAATTGCTTATTCCATAACTTATGAATTCAGCATTTCGAATACAGATTCAAGCATTCACTTAAGCACTGATTTTTATCAAACAGGCTTCGTTACGGGGATTATTTGCATAAATTTTCCATAATTAGTGTGCTGTGCTTGACTTTTCCTCTTTTACCAGCTTGGTTACAGGGATTATTTGCAATCACCTTTGCAGGTAAATAGGTTTATACCCTACGTTATTGTTATGCTTGCCTTTTGATTTATCAACATGCATAATGTAATCTTTCTTTTTTTTTTTTCCCCTTTTTAACTCATTGCAGCCTCTCATGGATAATTTGGAGGCCCAAACATATGAAACCTTTGAAAAGGACACTGTTAAGTACCTGCAGGTATATTTCATTCCCAAGAAATAAAATAAGTTACCTCTAAGGCTGTGTTTGGAAACCTTTCCTTTGTTGTGTATTGTTTTATTGTAAAATGTAAAAATGTGTCTTTAAAATGTTGAAAGGTGTGTTGAAAATTTGTAGAAGAAAAAACACGTGGATAATGTTTTCAATCAGGGTCTTCTAAATTTGTTTGAAAAATCAATGATGACATTGTATGTAGAATCCCATGCGGCTGGAACGAATGGAGAAATGCATCTCTGTAGTTTACGGCAATAAGGTACTATTGATATTGGAAAGAAAACTTTATATGACAGCCATAAGATGATGATCAATGCTTAAAGCACAAGAGTGTTGTCAGATGCGAGATCAAACTCAAAAAATGAGGATAATAGAAACAAGAAGTTTAGATTGATGTGTGGACCTTGAACATTAGTTATGCTTAGTAATGAATGCGTATAAAGCTTGTTTGGTCAGCACCAATCCTGAGAAAATTATAGAAACGTAGTTAAGAGGGTTTGAAGATGTTTTTAAGTAGTAGATGTTTTGATGTCTGGGTGTAGATGAAGGGAGGTAGACATGTACAGTAAGGTGAAGGAGAGAACTGGCGAGGAATATATTCCGTGTTCATATAGAATTGTAATTAGAAGCTTGGTTTTGAAGTATGATCAGGTGTTTATTTTGTAAATAAATACGAATTGAATGGTTATACCCAGGCATGTTGCTCGATTAGAACAGGGAGTCAACCTGTCATGAGTTTTGAAATACCATTTATTTTAATAATTCTGGGTGAAGCAGAAGGCTTTGTATGTCAAAAAAGTGATTGCGTGGATAGATAGGAATACCAGAAAGTTCGAAAATAGGAAAAAGAGGCCTGATGTGCAATTTATGGAGCTTAAACAGGAAATGCAGTAAAGACAACAATGTTGCACCAAAGAGGAACGTGGTACATACCATAAGATTGGATTCTACTATTTTGAGGCGATATGATTGATGCATGTTGTAGCTCAAGGAATCTATGATACTTGTACTTAACTTTGAAGTTTTGTGATTAATGGTAATTTACCATTTACCAGTAAAAAAGGGTGTAGTTCGAGGTCTGAAAATAAAATCATAGGAGGTAGCTTGTCCTTGAGTCTTGCTCTATTCTGACGTTTGTGGTAAAGGTCACCCAAACCTATGAAATGGTGTCCTCATATTTTATGTATAATAGTATTACCTGATCTTATTTTGATTATTACTTTACCTTGACCAAGAATAATGTTTCTTTCTGTTGCAGTACCAAAGAGCAGTTTCTAAAGCATTGCTGGACAGGATTCCTGATGAAGAAGCACCGAATGTCACTACCGTAAGTCCTTAGTTATAGAAATTACATTTCATTTACCCCTCTCATTTCTCCTCCTTTTGCTCCAGAAAAGTCTGCACCTTTTGCACTCTAAAGCAGTGTAATGTAAAATAGTAAAAGCAGAGAATAAGATGGGAAAAGGCAAAGAGCTTCGTGGGCTGCTTTTTTCTCTTACCTAAACCACATCTTACAATATATTGAGAATAATTTTGTTAATAACTGTTTGGAACACTCACCCTGAAGCTGTTGTGTACTCATTCACATAGCTTTTCTCAAATGAAACTCACCTAAAAGTACGGTAGGTTAACTGCTTTCTTTTTTCTTCATAATGTGAATAGTTATGTGAACATAGAACAATAATTGCACAGCTATCAATTGAAAGTTGAGGGTCCTAGTTGACATTATAAGGGCCAAAATCATGGTTAACTATCTCGATTTTTCTGATTCCAAATTGAAATATCTCATTCAGTTGACCAATCTAATCAAGGCCTCACCGGCACTGTATCGTAGACTGCAAGATCCAACAAAAAAATCCATAATGCTATTAGCATATTTTATTCTTCATCTCATATATCACAGAATTGTATTAGCACTGGGTCTCCGACTTCTTGTAAATGCAATTAGCTGGATAAATAAAAGTGTATAGAGTTCTTGTCTCTTCTCATTGTAATGTTCCCATAACCATTTCTTCTGTTGGCTCATCTTGTAAGCTTCCCCTGCACGGCACCTGATTGAGTATCTTATATATTATTTCTTCAAGTCCTTGAATAATGTTGTGTGCCAATATTTGGAGTACATCGCTAGTACATACCTTGACTCCGTTTTTTTTTTGTTTTTTTTTGGGTCATATATTTCCTAAAAGCTCTTATCTATTCCTCATCATCTTTCACAGATATTGATGGTTGTGGGCGCTGGTAGAGGACCCCTGGTTCGAGCCTCACTACAGGTCTGTGTTTATTTCGTTGTATGCCTATGATGTTATGGTAAAAAACATTTATATTTTCTTGTTTTTGTTGGTTAATAGGCTGCAGAAGAGACAGGACGGAAGTTGAAAGTTTATGCTGTAGAAAAGAATCCAAATGCAGTTGTTACACTTCATGTAAGATTAGCGTATCGACACAATTCTTTTGGCCGTACTGAGTCCTTTATCTTGTACTCCCTGTCCCTGAAACATAGTCCACATTGAGTTTTAAGATTTGTACTGGAGTATATCTTTATTTTGGGAGCAAGAGTTGCTGGAGTTTACTGAATCAATATACATACATAGAAAGCACCTTCGTCCTATAACTCAAATAGAAACTATTGATGATGTGATGTGTTCTACAAAATGAGCTTTAAGTGGAATTTGTTGTAGCCCTTTGTCATTCCTAAAACTGGTTGTCCATCTGGGTGCCTAATTTATCAGGATTATTTTTCCAAAATCATTAAAGATTTGTTGCTGGTTGATGACAAAGTGGCATTTGAATCGTAGTAACTTCCAAAATTCTGTCGAATGTTTTTTGGTGGGCATCGAAGCATATATTTTTTAATTTTAAAATAACTTGACACAAATTTAAATGATTTCCGGCTGCATTTTATCTTTTGTCAGTGTAAAATGTATGAATTGCAACTGTGACTGTGCTTAGATTCTTGAAAAGTTAATATCCTATGATCAAGTTCTTGCGCCGAACAACTTTCATATACTTGCACAAATTTTTTCAACAGAGCTTGGTTAAGCTAGAGGGCTGGGAGAATGTTGTTACTATAGTTTCCTCTGACATGCGTGCTTGGGTTGCTCCTGAGAAAGCTGACATTCTGGTAATGGATCCTTTACTAGCTTTATTTTTTAAAAGGAATTAGATATCCTTAGATTGCTAATCCGATCTTGATTTTTGCATTTCCTTTGATCAGGTTAGCGAATTGCTAGGTTCGTTTGGCGATAATGAACTATCACCAGAGTGCCTCGATGGAGCACAAAGATTTTTAAAACCTGATGGAATCTCAATTCCTTCTTCGTATGTAACTACTATTTCATGCCATGATTACTCTGGATTTTGTTTCACCTAGCTATTTTTCTGGTTAAAGTACTGAGGCATACCATACTGCCATTTTGGGCTTCTACTACTGTGAGCAATCACTGATTTCCGAAGGATTAAATAAGAAGGGTATTTCTTTATAGGGGAAATATTGTAGGAAATTGGAAATGATTAACAAACTTATGAGCAGCTTATATATTGAATTAATGAAGCATAGGAGCAAAGGTCCCCAACTATGTAGCAATCTGTGCTCCTTTCCACCTTTGTTACATAAAGAAAAACATGAAATAATTGAGATTGTTGGCATGGCATGTGGTTTACTGCTTTTGTGTGTGTGGTGTGTGGTGTGTGGTGTGTGGTGTGTGGTGATTACCTTTGTTGGGATTATTAACATTATGAATACTGTTTGCAACATTTTTGCATTTTTACTTGCTGAAATTAATCTTCAGATGGTTAAAATCCATTTCCCATCATTTTCAGGTACACAAGTTTTATCCAACCAATTACAGCCTCCAAGCTATATAATGATGTACATCCTTTTACTCTTCAGTCTTGTATTTGGAAATTTTAAGTTAGAGTCTGATAAGTTAATCTTTCTTCATTTCTTTTGGGTCACAGGTCAAATCACACAAAGATCTGTTACACTTTGAAACTGCATATGTTGTAAAACTGCATCGTGTATCAAGGCTTGCTCCTTCACAACCTGTAAGTTGATGGTCTTAAAATATAACACATGATCCTATAATATGTTGCAAGTATAATGTTGGCTGTACTGCCAAATTTTTCTGGTTATGGATTTGTATAATGTGGGAGCATGATTTAAAAACGATCAATGTGTGCTCAAGAACTAGCAACTGAAAATGTCTTTTACAGATTATACTCTCTTCACAGACGAGCCATCCTCTAGTTGTATTTACCTGTTCCTGAATTTACAATTGATATGCTTTTCATGAAGTATACCTAAAACTTAACTATATTTTGCTGAAAAGATTTCCTTTAGTTGAGTCTTTGATGGAGAATATTTAGATGGGCAACTTTGAAGTAGAATATGAGACACATAACTTGCCTGAGTATCTTTAATTATCATTAAGACAAGGTACGCCTTTTGTATTCTGGATTGGTGGAAATGTATCACATTTATTTATTGAAAAAGGTGTTCTTTTTGGCCAGGTATTTACATTTACTCATCCTGACTACTCGGCTAATAAACGAAATGATCGGTATAAGAAGCTTCGATTTGAGATACCCAGGGACACTGGGTCAGCAATGGTTCATGGTATGTAATTAAAGCTGGACATGTTTCCGTTTATGAACATCTCCATCATGTATTTTCCTTTTACAGAGTGTAGCTCTGAAAATTTTATTGTGTTGCATACCTACCACATTTCTGGAGAAACTATTTTCAGACAAGACATATAGAGCTCAAATGTTTTAATAACTGTAAAACTTTCAGAGTTTTAAAAAAAAAAAAAAAGAAAGGAAAAATCCAGTTCAGGCCATGCTGGGATGTAGAATTTGAAACAGTCGCAAAAACTTTTTAGTTTATTATGTTAATAGCACAGAATCTTTTATGTTCTGCCTTTGGACATTGTTATATTTGTTGAAATTTCACAAGGCATTCATCTTAGCAATAATTTCTATAGTAATGCTTTTTGAGCTTTGAATAAAATGTTCTTTCAATATGTTTTTCTGAAGTATGCATAGTATCCTCTGATTAACTTTTATGCTGCCAATGATAGGATTTGCTGGCTACTTTGATGCAACACTATATAAAGACGTGCACCTTGGTATCGAACCGTCAACTGCGACACCTAGCATGTTTAGCTGGTATGGAGTCTACTTTTTGTGCTTGATATATATGTTTTCAGCCTTTTGGCCAGGCTGCCAGCTATATTGATTTTGTCACATCATACTCTATAAAATGCATAGTTTCATTTGATTCAAATAGCTTTTCTTAAAGCGTGTTTCCCTTTCTTTTTAGGTCTTTTTTTACCACTTTTATGTAGGGTAGTGAATTTATACTTATCACTCGTCTTACAAGGGTATCTAAAGGTCTTCTATGCACATGCCCTTGATCATTTTTTCCTATTCACATACCCTAATCATCTTTAACTATGATCATTCTTTTTTCTCATCAATTGGTGGTATTCTCTATTTTCTTTCTAATGCATTCATTATACCTCTGATTTCATTTTACTACTAGAGTGTTTGGTCCATTTTAATATGCTGTGGCTCAACGCTCAATCTTTGTATCATGTTGTAATATTGAAGTTTCCTTTCAATTTTAATAATGTTGCAGTCGCATGAGTATAGAGGATATACACTTTTTTTTTTTCCAGTTGTCCCAACCCATTTGCATCAATGTGCAGTGTCTAATTGATTTTCTTATATTCCTGCGATTTTAGAAGGAAGGTTTGCATGTGTTTGACTAATGATCACCCAAATGATCACCCAATTCGATATTTACCATATTGTTGCTCTTACAATTACTGAAATTACCATATACTGAAGTGATAATTGCATTGTATTTGACTTCTCTCTTTACTGTTTGTTTAAATTCTTTCAAACAGGTTTCCTATCTTCTTCCCCTTAAGGACTCCGGTCTGCGTTCAACCGGGTGTTCCTTTAGAAGTTCATATGTGGCGTTGTTGTGGTTCTACGAAGGTATCTTCATGTTTTTCTGCTTTAAAATAGGACTTCCAAATCTTTTCTCTTGTTATGAGAGCAAGATTTTACTGTGTTAATTTGGCAAGAAATATATTCTGATTTTTGTTTTTTTTTTTTTTCCTTTTAACAGGTTTGGTACGAGTGGTGTGTGGCTTCTCCTACCTCTTCTCCTGTCCACAACACTAATGGCCGCTCATATTGGGTCGGACTTTGAGACTTTACCTGTGAATTTTGTACTAATCTCCTCAACTCTGTGACAAATTATTCAGAGCTTAATTATTGATGATATGCATCTCCAATGCTTTGTTCCCAGCAAAAGGAAATTTCGGATATCAACTACTAATTCTGAACACTTTAAAGAAGAAAAACAAAAACCAAATTCTGATCTAATATGAATACAAGTAATTAACAAATTCGAACCCAGCATTGCTTCAAGTTCAATGCTTTTAGCTAAATGGTGATCATAATGACTGGTGTGGATCACTAATGCTTGATTAAATAAAAACCTGATGTTCCTGCTCTATTCCAACTTGTACAAAATAGATACTTTGTTAGCCAAAAAAAAGAAAATAAATAAAATACTTCAAAAACAATGTTAGTGTTTACCTTACCTTTGTGAATATCTTCTACAAATAAAAATTGAAAGGATCGTAAAAAGGAAAATCGTTTTTTTTTTTTAATTAAAACATGTTTATAGATCAACGAAAATGGGGAAACTTCTATTTACCTCCGTAATTTTTATGCGTATGACATCGCTATTCCTTGGTAACATTCAGTAACATTCATCAATTCGAAGCTTAATTTGAAACAAGAAATAACTATGAATAGTAATCGATTTCTCGGAAAGGATAGAAGAACGAGACTTCTTTCCCCGAACAAATTGACTCCAACATAGCAATGACTGTTTTAGAAATTAAATTTTACCATCTCTTGCCAATTTGATGATCATATTCGTTGCCCACTTATTGTTTGGAAACACTTTTTTAGACCCATTAGATTGTTTTAAATTTTAAAACACCCTTAGCAATGATTGCTTCCTTTTTCTTTTTCTTTTTGGCTTTTGTTGTTTTTAATTGAACTTTGGATTTAATTACAAAAATCTCCTCTACCTTTCATTGATTATCTAAAATACCTTATCACTTTAAAAAAAAAAAAATCTGAATCTTTTGATCATCACGTCATCTATAAAACGATCCTTTAACGCTGGAATCATTATGTACGTCAATGATTTTAGCATTTTGTTTCCATGTTTCAAGACATAGATGTCCTTATCTTGATTTTTTTTTTTTAATAAAAAAAAGCCCCTTACCTTCATTTAAATTGTACAAGAAAAATGATTATTTTTTCTTCAACAGACCTAAAAAATTATGTTGGCATTTGTTTAGTAATGTTTTTTTTTTTATTAAACATCACAAAATCTTTGTGGATCGGTGATTTTTGGTGCACAGTGCATACTATTTTTTTTCACCGGTAATTTTTTGCTAATAACTTCATTTATCTGCTGTTCTAATTTTTTGGGGCAAACCTAAAAGCACATTAGCAAAATACAGATTACCTCTTTCTTAAAAAAAAAAAAAAACAGTTCACATTATTAATTAACAAAATATTTGACTTGACTCAATAAAAACTAGACAATTTATCAAAATGATTTTTTTAAGGAATAAAATTGCATTATTAATATTTTATGTAGAATTTTACATAAATGAATAGATAAAAGTATAAAGATTTACAATTTTTAATAGAAACTAAAATCAAACTTCATTAAATAACTTGTGATGTAAATATAGCGATAGTGAATAAGTCTAACACTCAAAACATATGTCATTCATATAAAATTTCATCCAACTCAAAATTGCATGATCTTTGTTAAATTATAAATTTAAATTTACAAACACACACATATATAGATTTAATGTGACATAGATAACGCTAATAAGTTCTTGTTGTGGTCAATGAGGGGTTGCCGCAGTGGGGAGGCCTTACACCCTTACCCGCATGACGCGGGTTCAACACCCAGGGAGGAGAAATGGGGGTTCATTTGAGCTGTTTATCAAAAAAAATTTTGTTGTGTAGTTAGGGTCTGTTTAATAAAAATCAATTCTTAATTCTGAATACTTAACACTAAATCAGAAATGTTGAATTCATTAAATATTTACAGAATAAGTAATAAGCTAACTTTTACTTCTTATATTTTGTACTACAGTTTCAATACCACTTAATTCATTAAGAGATTCATCTTTTATTATCAAACATGCTTAATTTAAAAAGTGCTTAATGAAATCATTTTAAGCATTAATTGGTATTATCAAACATGCGCTTTGACTTTGAGTGGATCTCTTTGAGATTTTGAATCTAACTCATAAAGAGTATTTTAGGAGGTTTGTAGGCTACAATTTTTATTTATTTTTTATCACATTCAAGTATATTTTCTACATGTAACCAAACAAAAGAAAGCGTTTATATTTCTCATAATTATATTCTCAGGAATCAAAAAGTAAAAAATAAATTATTAATTTTACTCAGAATTAAAATATCAGGAATGTTAATTTTACTTTTCTTAACTTTCCAAGCAACTAAATAGGCTCTAAATGTATTTTAGATAATTAATCAAACTTTGATGGTATTTTAAAATTTATCCTTTTAATAATGCTCCATTTCATTTTGATGAAACTCCGGAGGCGGGAGCCACATTTAGTTTGGAGAAAGTGATATTCGAGAGATGTTTGGCATAAAACCAAAATCCATACATAATGTGGCCTGCGTTCAGCATAATATAGACCTATATATGATCACACACCAAACAGCGTCTTAGGCTTTGGGGCGGTTTATCTTGAACTTATTATTACCCTTTTCGCATATCCCCAATTTTCTTCTTCTCTTTACCCAATTTGGGAAAATCGCAGGAAACCCTAGACTTTCAGTTTCTAGATTAAGTGCGATTCAGGTTTGAGTCAGGATGCCGGCCACGGCGGGTAGGGTTCGCATGCCGGCGAACAACCGGGTGCACAGCAGCGCAGCCTTACAGACTCACGGCATATGGCAGAGCGCAATCGGGTACGATCCGTATGCTCCGACCAATAAAGATGATAGCAAGAAATCTTCATCGTCGACGGCGGTTCAAGCTTCTAGTTCCGCCGATCGCGACGCCGATAATGCTTACGAGAGCTTCCAGGGGTTGCTGGCTTTAGCGAAGATCACCAATTCGACCTCCGACCAGGCCCGCGGCGCGTGTAAGAGGTGCGGTAGGGTTGGGCATCTGTACGTTCACTGCAGGAATTTCTTGACTGTTAAGGATCCTGCTACGAGCAATGATGTTGGTTTGATGCTCCAGGATGCGGTTGCGGGGAAATTGAAGGGGGAGAGATTGAAAAGAGGGGAGGATGAAAGTAGTGATGAGGAGGAGGAGGAGGAAGAAGATAGCGATAGTTCTGATTCTGATTATGATTCGGAAATGGAGAGAATTATTGCTCAAAGATCTAAGAAGTCTAGTGGGAAATCCAAAGTCGGATCCAGCCGGCGGAGGGAGGATGGTGAGGATAAGGAGAAAAGGGGAAGTTCGAAGAAGAGGAGGAGCGGGAGGAGGGAGGACAGTGATTCAGAGGATGAGGATAAGAGGAGGAAGAGGAGAAAGGAGAAGCGGAGAAGGAAGCATGATGACGAGGAGTCTTCTGATGAAGAGGAAGAACAGAGGAGGAGGAGGAGAAGGAAAAGTAGGAAGGAGAGGAGAAGGAGGAGGAGTCATAGGTATTCATCTGATGAGGATTCCTCAGATTCTTCACCTGATGATTCTGGGGATAGACGACACAAGAGGAGGAGCCGGAAGACGGCCTCAACATCTGATTCTGATGCCAGTGGTTCTGATGATCCTCGGGTTGGCCGGGATAAGAAGAGGTCTGAGAAGAAGAGCCGGAAGAGCCGCCATGAAGTTGAGGACTAGTTGATTGGTTTGTGGAAGGTGACCCTGCTGTCTACTACTGCAATAATTGATGGATGTATGCAAAACTTGTCATTGTAGTTCCTTCTCAAATTTGCTTCCTTTTTTTCCCCTGTGATTTGTTGTTAAATCATGTCTGAACCTCCATGTAAAACTATATGTTGAATGCATGAGAGCTATTTTTATTATTTATGGATTTAAGTTTGTTAGTTTAGTTTGTATATTGATGCATGTTGGTTTTGCTCTTTAATTTGGTACCAATGCTAATGGAAGAAAGCATGTGATTGTAGTTTAACCGTTGTAGTTATAGTACAGTTTTGAATCTTCGACTAAAACTATCATTGGAAGGGAAACGGACGCTGCGAGATGCTATTCATCTAATGACTACATATGTATTTCAGTGAGCTCTAGGATCACTGTCCTTAGTTTATCTTTCCTCCTCTTCTAGCAGTGAAACATTCTGTTTGCAGAGTCTCCTTTAGATTTCTGTGCATTGAACACAAGATAGGTATAAAGCTAGGAATTTGAGCAAGAGAAGATAGTTATAAGGCTGAATGTCTAAATTAATACCAAGAATTCTTAATTTTGCTTTACTACTGCAGAATACCAATCAGGAATTCACTCTACAACTAGGGTACTCTTAAGACAAAATCTTCTATGTTGTTCCAAGTTTTAAGCCGGGTACCTTTTCCAATTCTGGATCAGCTTTTCTTTGCTTCTCATTAAAGTTCTCCGACTTATATCTGCGTTTTGTTTCTTTGTGTTATTCAACATTGAATGTATATAAACGAAAAGTGTCAACTTTTAAGCTTAAAAATCCCATGCACTCTTTAGGAACATCTAAGAACACTAAAGGAAACAGGATCAAGATTATCCACTGCTGTTTGTAATCATTCCTTTCACAAACTACGCTGAAATGCTGTTGGACATAGAATTCTGGTTTCTGAGCCGGGTAAATCTTGTTGAAATCTTGCCAAACACAGGTTAATAATTGTCTCTACCCAAGGAAGAAAATTTTCACATATTCTTGAAGGGTGGGACAAATTGAACAGTTGGATAAACAATGAAGCATAACGTATTCCCACTGATTCTTGAAGCTCTTAAAGCTCATAATACTTATCACCACACAACAAAGAAGAGTGTTACAAAAACTGTGAAGAAACCTAGCGAACTCTCACCAACATTTATCGAATTTGAAAAAGAGTCAGAAGAAGTGGTTCGATCCACTTTTTGAAGTTCCTGATTTCGATCTAATGCTTGCACCTATAAAGTCTTGATTTAAAACAAAGAGAGAGAAATGCTTCTTTTGGCTCACCTTTATGGAACCTTAGTGTCTTTATGTGATCAGAAAAGCTTCTAGGACATCTACAATAAATCTTAGTAATTAGTTGCATTCAACTCCATTATTCTAATTATGATGAGTGAATAAGCAATTTTCTTCCTTCATGGGTAGTCGAGGGACCTAAGGATAAGAGTTATGGCTGGGAAAAAAAAAAAGAGAAATCAGATGAGTAGAGAAAAAGGTGAATAGAGAAAAGAAGGAAGAAAAAACAGAACAAAAAGAGTGACAACTGGAACAAGAAGGGTTCTGCTGAAAAAAGAAAAAGATTTATTCCCCTGTAAAAATGTTATTATATTTGTTTAATTTCTAATGGAATGACCGCTTATCGTATTTGTTCTTGACTTCAAGTAGTTCAAGACTTTAAATTTGTATTCTTAGCAATCATATCTCACATTTTCTCACTTACCCACAAAACTGTGCTCTGCTTAGTTAGAAGCACCGTCCCTGCACCTGTATTTCTCTCTTTTGGTAGTACCAATTTCCTGTAACCTCGAGTATAGGGAGTAGTTCCTGCGTGCAAAGTATTGTTTCTGAGAAGGAAATCAGGATGTGGATGTTTTCACCGGATTGAGGCTCTGATTTCTGTAAATTATTGTCGTTTGTCAAAAGAAATTGGTCTCGCACATGATATTGATGGTTTTCCAATGTGTAGTCTCCATTTTGTAGAGTTAGCTAGTAGTTAGCAGCTGGATTCTAAACTGTGCTGTTGTTTGTCATGTTACTCCTCAGTCCATCTTTTCTGCTTAGATTTTTTTACTTCTAGAGATGTAATTATGTCCAGTAACTGTTGGAAGGCCAATTTTATATGCTCTTTTCTTTTTGTCTTGCTCCTTATTATGATTGATTACCGAAGTGTAATTGAGTACCTGGCCCGATGGTAGTTTACTGGAACAAGGAGAAGAAAGATAGGTGAAGGTATGTGAATGTAAGATACAAGGCCCTCAAAATAAGTGATTGCTGTTTCATTGCATAAAATAGCTTTAATCTATTTCACTTAATATAACTTTTCCAAAATTACGAAGTTGATGGGATTATGTTTCTAGTATCTTTGCCTTGTCCTTTTGTTGGTCCATTTTGATTGCATTGGGAATGGCAGTGCTGATTTTAACTGGGAGTTAGAGGATTATAGTTATTTTATGTCTGATATTAACTGCACCAGTTATAAGGGAAAGTCAGAAATGATTATAGTCATTTACTGTGCCTTATAATTTTTCTGGGCTATTGTATGAATGATTTCATTTCTCTTATGCAGTGTTCTCTATAGCTTTCTGGGCTATGTTTCTTATGTTTCTCTTGATGTAGATAAGTACATAGCCTACTTAGAATTTCCTTTAAAGCCTTAATGACTAACTCTAGTCATTCACCACTTTAAACCACAGAACTTATCTGGTCTTGACTGTAGGAATGTCCTATTTCTGTGGTGTTTATTATACCTTTCCAATGAAAATCTTACAGGATGCTTTAGTTTGACATGGTCATTTGGCAGTACGGAAAAACCTGTCTCTGTATGCTTGTTGAATACTTCGCAGGTTACTAATCCTGTCTTTGGAGTTTGGTCCAACAATGAACTTTCCTTATTACTGTTCTGGAGTTTTTTGGGTTGCTAGTGATGATCCTTTTCAAAACTCTCTGTGGTTGAATTCTGGAGGGCTAAATCAAACTATATTCTATAGGATTGATATGAATGAATATCGCAGTTTTGAAGGATTATTTCCTTTGATGTGTAAGGCCTGTGGTGCATTAGTGTGCTAATGTTATCAGTATCGAAGATTTTGTTTAGTTCTGCCTCTTGTAAGTCTTCAAAATGCTTTATGTTACTTGGTACTCATGGCCTCTTATGTTCTGCTTGTTGGTTTGGTGGCGGTGACCCAAGAAACAGTGAAGTTTTGCTCATACATCGGAAGATCTTTTCCAATTCTATGCTGATTAAGTCTATTTTTCGAATTTTTTTGAGTTTCATGCCATAGCGTCCATTCTTTCCTTCTTATCTTGCCAAATAAATAGAGAAAACTTGCATGCATTTGTTGATCACTACTTTTACATAGACTGGCAAAATCTTGTCTGATATATTATCTCTAGAATAAGTTACAGTAACCTTCTCAGCCCATCATGGGATGAACCTGGTATTGAAGTCTGATGTTTATATCAGTATTGCTCACTGGTGATCTTCAGCAAAGACCTACAAGGTTGATGCACAACTTAATTATGCTGAATTGGGGTAGAGTCGTAGATTGCGTACTTGCTTTGTCAAAAGGTTATTGGAAAATGCTTTCCTTTTGGAGGTTATGAATATTTCATACTATTCTGGAAAATGCTGTCCTTTATAACTGGAGAGACTGAATATTTCATACTATTCTGTGTTAATGTAGATTAATGATATTAGTGATGAGTGCTCATGACAACTTCTTTTTTGTGGTTGCCTTGTTACTTTATGCATTTGCCGACTCTTGTATGTGGCCCTTGTGGCCGCTGTTTTGCCAAATATTGTGTATGCTGTTCGTTCTCATCTGGCTCCGTTTAGCTCCATTGGGAGTAAATGGCCGATGAGTCAAAGTTGTGCACCATTTTCTGCTGTCGTTTCTGATCCAAAGTGTGGTGGTTCTGTAAGTTGTGATTGTTTACCACACGGGGTTCCAGGGTCACTGCTGTCGTTTCCGATCCACTCCTGTTGTTTACGATCCAAAGTGACGGTGTGGTGGTTCTGTAAGTAGTGATTGTTGAAGGCCGTAATTGTATTTTATTTTTTTGAACGAACATGTTACAATAGATTGGCTAACGCTAATGTTGCTACGGGTTTTCCTGTATCTCTACTTTTTTAATACCTCTACTTTTTCTATACAACTACCCAGCACTAGATTCATTCTTAACAAATAACATCCTCACCAACGCTACTGATTTGATGAGGGAAAACATGCTTCTTTTCCATAGCACCTGCTAGGATGAAACTGATGTTGGTTCACAATTGGCAATTAGACAGACTTTGATTTCTTGCTTCCTTTAGCCCTTGATAGACAACTAAATGACAACAGAATGGACCACAAAATGAAGATTCCTGAATTGGACCCTTTTCCGGTGCTTGTGTTGTGTCAGCCGTGCATCTATATAGGGATTTGCAGTGGTTTTCATCGAATTGCCCCAACTTAATTGTTCCAAGTCAATCTTTTACCATCAGGATGGGAAATTTTACTTTCTATTTCCTTGCATCATGCCTCCGTATTAAAAAGTCATTTGGAGTAGGAATTGACGAGACAATAGTCATTTGGAGTTAGGACATTTAATTGAACTCTTTAAACTTAATTGAAGTTCCGATACAACACTTTCATTGTTGATGCAACTAAGTTTATGTTACAAACTCTTCACAATAGTTAGACAATTTGTTTTGATTGGAAGAGATAAGTCTTAGCTCCAAATATAGAGAATCTTCTTTCAGAGCAATCCAATTTTGGGTTTTGAACTCCATATCATCCAAACAAATCGCCCAATTTCGTAACCCCTTATAATTTTAATCATTTGAATTAAGCACAATGCCTTCATTGATTGATGCACACTATCAAAAGAAGCCATAAGAATGAAAATTCTATTTAACACTCCTTAAACGACAGTTCTAAAAGGATTTAAAAAAAAAAAAAGAGCAAAAATGTAAACTTCAACACAATTACTATGCAGAATGGAGTTGGAACTCGATTGATGAAAAGGTTATAAGTAGAAGAGAAGGTAGCTAACAGAAAATGCCGTGGATTTCTTTTGTTAATATTTTCCTTTTTTAACTTTTTAAGTAGCCAAACCAGGTGTTCCGTATTTTTCTTGTTTTTTTTTTTAAGAAAAAGAAAAAAGAAAAAAAGAAAGATAAGCTGGGCACCTTTTGGAGAAGGATGTTAATGTTATCTGGTAATATAGATTGGGCAATTAGCAGACCCATTTTAGCCCTAGAAAAATCCAGCACAATGAAAAATTCACCCTACTCCAGGCCCTTCTCCATAATTAGGATGGACCCATTTTTATCCTGGCCCTGAGCCGTCGCGCAGTGCGAACACTGGCCCGGGACCGGCCCTGCCTATATTTTCACATGTTCTGCGGCGAGCCATGGGGAGAACAAGGAAATCTCTGCATTTCTCTTGCTGCACAAGCTGCTGCACACTCGAAGGCCGGAAGAGTATCAAGAATCATCAACTCAACACAGTCAGGGAGATGCTTTCCAATCGAACTGAAGGTTGTTAAACCCATTGACAGCTCCAAGGCCGCTAAGTAATTGGTTCCCTAAATCCTGCTGCTGATTCATCGTCTGCTCTCTACCCATCCCCATGCCCCCTACCCTGCCATTCATTGTCATTGCATTGTTGCCCAAAGCAGCTCGAATTCCATTAACCATTGCAGCCTGACTGATTCCGTTCCCCATATATCCTGAACCCCCCATGCCACTACCGTTGCCATTCGTGACCCCATTTGCAGCAATGCCGTTATTACTGCCAAGTCCCATGCTATTGCTAGAAGGCATCATCCCGTTCACATTTTTCACATCATTTCCCATGTTATTCATACCACCGCCAAGTTGAGATGACATCATCATATCATGAATGATTTTCTGAACAGAACTCTGTGAATCGTTTGCATCCGTATCATTCGGAATTGAAGGCTGCTGTATCATGATACTGGGTGAATTAGCAGAATTCATATGAGCTCCACCTGATAAGCCGCCAAGAGAACTTTGAGGAGGATTGTTTGACGTTGATGGTGTAGGAGACTGGAAAGGAGAAGGATTGGATTGAGGTTGTGGCACGGTACTTGATGAACTAGGAGATGGCATTTGAACATTGTTTCCTCCATAAGGACTATTGGCACCGTTAACTGGGTTTTGCTGTCTGGAATTCATGGAGTTCTGATGAAGCAACCCGGCAATGGCACTACTCGAGGGAGTTGGAGGAGCTGAGTTGGCTGAATTATTTACATTTGATACTCCATTGCTGGAAGGAAGTTGCATGGCAGCAGTCGCATCATTGTTTGAACTCTGACCACCTGTTTGTTGATGATGAACCTGATCCTCAGCATGCTGAGATTGACTATGAAACCCAGTTGACGCGCTTGTCCTCCTGGGGAATTTGGCCAAGCTCTCTGAAAAAAAAGGATTGGGACCAATCACGTTGCAGTACTGTAATTATGTAAGAACCTCCCTTAAAATAGTGTAAACCAGGTTATTGCACCTCAGGCCAGTGGCCAGTAATTGGCTATCTTTGTGTAATACTCATTCCATAAACATGAACATGGAAGTCCAACAAGGATCTTACTGCATATTTACTAGGACAATACTCTTTTATCATACACTTAATGTTAACCAAAAAGCACAAATTACCAAAGGCATCCCAAATCTCAATATCTTCATATTACATCTTCTATTTATTTCCTCCAAAAGTAAGAGGAAATAAGAGAAAACCGACATGCGACAGTGGAAACAACCTCAAGAAGGAAAATGAAGGCATCAACACCTTTTGCTGAGGAAATTTTTAAGCACGTATCTGTTGAAATTATTAATTAACCTCATAAACAAGTAGCTCCTTTGAGCAAAACATACTCTAGCCAGTATCAAGAAATTGGTTTTCCAGAAACTACTACTGTACTTGGTGAGTTTAAAAACTACAATGCCACCAACTAGTATAATGCATAACAAATAGAATGGATATCACATAGCTTACCCATAGGTCCTGTCCCAGTGTCTCGGCTGTAATCAATCAAATCCTTCATACTGTTTACAACTTCCGAAATCTGCAATGCATCAGAATGGAACAAACAACAAACAACAAAATCAGATTGCTATAGTAAGCCATTGGAAGTTAATAGACTCATTGCTAGAAACTTATGATCCCATAAACATCAAGAAAAATTTCTAATAAACTAATTATTTGCTTATTTCTAGGTTCTATCATGTGATACGCCACTCCCCCATCTGGCTAGGAAAACAAAAAAGTTGCCAAACATTAATTAAAATGCCAGTCATTACAGTAGGCATAATTCTTAGGCAAAGGAGTTGACCGTCTCACATGGGTCACTAGTAACATCATAGTTCCTAGTCACATGACAAACACAAAAAATTTAAGCTATCCTAGTAGCGGTTACACAATATGTGTTACCAAATAGGATTAATAGCAACTAAGCATGGATGTTTTGAAGATAACAAAGATTCTCAAAACAATTTTTTTCTTCTAGCAACTGTTTCAGGCTTAGCTAATCAATAAGGGCATTATTTTCATCATATTATCACGGCAGGGAAAATTCTGCAGAAGCCTGCTGATATAACTACTTAAAACATATTATGCCTCCATAGTCATATCAACAGAAAATTCAACTTGATAAAGTTCAATAAAACCTCCATACAGGTATAACCACAGTAAAACATGAACAATCTCAATGCTAACTGGTGGCAAACAAAACAAGAAGCCAAAAAAATCAATTAAATCATACTCATCAAAGCCTGCATCACATACCATCTGATGCGATGCACTATCTAATGGTTGTTGACAAGCTAAATCAACCGCTAATGTGAGAGAGAGAGAGAGAGAGAGAGAGAGAATGCTTGGGTGGCTTATATTTTTCTTCAACTTCTAACTTAAGGCTCAAATGACAATGCTTTCACTTAATTATCTAAGCCAGCCTGTAGGGCTGTCCTGAAACTTAGCAGGACATAGTAGTCGACAGATCTCAGCCAATAAACAACCACTCACCAAAGGGATTCAGTGAACTGCCACATTTGGTATTGTCCAAAAAACATGTTAGGCAACATACAATCTATTACTTATAAGCTTTAACGTTGCCAGAGTTTAAAATAATTGCAGATAAAAAATCATTACAGTAGGTGGTGAATATTTGACAAGGCCAAATTCATAATAACTTTAAGTTGATGGAACAAGGTACATGTTCAGTCTCAATTTGTCAAAAGATCGTGATGATTAAATTAAAGTGGGGCTTCCAAAAAAGCCATAGCTTCAACCTCTCAATCACAGTTACAACAAACCAAAGGGTGAAGCACTCCATATAGACAAACTGAAAACAAACTCAACTCATCAAACCACACTTGTTCCTTATTGTGAAGATCGCTAAAATATTCCAAATCCCCTAAATAGATAAGTCAAAACAGTTAAGAAGTATATCGCCATCAACAGACTCATTCTAAGCAAAAAAATGTCACTTGAGAGAGTCATGATCATGACTCTTGATTAAAATTTTTGATTTAGGCAATATCTAGAGCTACATAACAAATCCGTACCCTCCCCCACCCCCAAAAAAAGATTTCCCTCCTTTCGTAAAAAATGCTTATGATGTAATACTGTTCTTGTTTGAGCTATCATTAGTATCTACCAAGACGCCTATCATTGTTAGTTAAACTACATGCAGCAGCAAGGTACTTTTTGAGAGATATGTAAAAGATGATGACTAAGGCCAATCCACATCCACCACAGATATCATTCTAATTCTCCATAAGCAATTTAGTTTGTAAATCTGAGTGGCAATCTCTATTTACCGCCATGAGTGTAACAGAGACCATTTCTTTCCGTACACAATTAGCAAAGACCGAAAGCAAACACAATTGGCAGCAAAGAACAATATGCTGTTAATAACATTAGAGCATTACCTGAAGACATCGAACGTATCTCTTCGTGTATCCTAATTCATTTACCAAAGGGTTTTCCAGTGCTTTTGCTAACTGACGAGCTGAGGCAACAAACCTGACCACACATAAGAATAGAGAGCAGCAAACATTTTAGCACTACCAGCGCCTCACAAAGCACAGAAAGAATAACCTAAACATGCACAAATCTCAATGAGAGCTTGCATAGTTGGAGAGGAAAGACATTCAACATTGGAACCATTAAAGAACAAAGGAGATAAAATCCATTGTTTAATACCCAGCAAGGAGTTATCACAAATTTATTCAATTAAATGTATTGGTCGATTTTAACTTCTGAAGAGTTTTAAACTAAACTTGCCAACCATACAAGAGATTAAGAAAGAAACTTCAAGAGTCTAGAAGAATTTCACACTTACGTTGTGAACCATACAAGAGATTTAGAAAAAACCTTCGAAATACAAGAAGCTGATACATGAGCAGTTCTCTCTTTTTTGGCAATGTCATTTATATGGCTCAAAGACTATTACTCATCAGACACCAACAGAAAGAGTAAACATTCTTTTAGAGGAATATGACAACACCCCATCCCCCAAAACACACACACACAGACACAAAAAAAGCAAAAGCAGATTATTGATACACTAAAGCTGTATAAATAGATTAAAATATATCATGCCCATCATCAACTGACAAAGAATAGCTTAAAGCAATTGAAGACCAATGATCTTCCTCATTCTTAAGACAGGTTGAGACAGAAATATGATCACAACCATAGGTTTACATCAAATATACCAGTTCCCCTGATCTTGAACACATCCATCAAAAGAGAAGTAACAGGCAGCAGGGAGAAGGGGGAAGGGAGAAAGCGAGGAAGAGGAAATGAAACATACAATACTATATAATATGAATGAGTATTACAGCTGGAATAACTAACAATCCACAGCTTCTTTAATTCGTTTAAAGCAGGAAGGATGGACTTACATATTGCAGTTACTCTGCAACTCAGGAACGGATGCATTTGATGATGCATTTGATGATGCATTTTGTGTAGCAGCCTGATATTTTTGAGCCACAGCCCCAAGCTGATTGACCTACAAGTAATGCCAACAAGGAATTAAGATTGTATACACAGACATAAGAAATGCAAAAAGAAGTTGATGATGAACATTGAAAATCTGTATTATTCAATCAAAAAAAATAGCAATCCAAAAAAAAAAAAAGAAAACCCTCAAATGGAGAAACAATTCAATTCTGTAAAAGCACTCAAAAACTTGAATCAAGTAGTTATGATCTGGAGAGATTCAATCAAACACCTGAGGGATCAGTAATCTTCTAGGAATGAGATCCTCATGACGTCTTGCACAGAATTCCCACGAGCAAATCTGTCGAAATTTAAGATGAAGGAACAAGGCAAGTTAAGAAAGGAAAAGTTCATATGGATAAGTAAATTAGAACTCAAAGTTACTTAGATATGACCTTCAAGTCTTGAGAGAACACTATACGAAGTTGGCCGTCACGGACAACACGAAGTTGCTCAAAGACACTCTCTTGTATGGCTTTGGCATAGTCAAGAACAATCTGCCCTGAGGAATTCTGATACTCTTTCGGCATGTCAACATAAAGTAGCTCTTCCAAAATACCACTTTCATACTTTATTTTAAAAAGCCTGGGCAGAACTTCAACAGTTGCCTCTGGAGGTCAATCAACAAATGCAAATAGTCAGTAGAAGCTAAAAATAGATCTTGTGAGAGAAAAGAGAAAAAGAGAAACATCAGATCAAAGTATGTCATTCAACCCGTCAGACTGAGCAAGAGTATATCTATTCAGAATGATTGCGTTGTATGTTTAAAAAAACCTCAGAGATTAGGAAATACCAAATCCACGGCCTGGTTTACGGTTGCATATTTCACAATGCCAGACATCCTGTCAAATAAAAACATTATTGAACACAAATTAGTAAGTGCGAGATAATTTATAATCTTAGAAGAAAAAAAAAAGGATAAATGTCCTGTGGGTGCGTGTACACTATTTAATAATAATTTTCCTTTTCTTCAAATTAATATGGCTTTTCATTACTGCTCTATACTTAAAAGAGCTTGATCCGTTGATAAACATTTCAAGGGTGCTCAATGACAATTTGGACAGTAAGAAACTTCTAAAGTCTGAATGATACAGAAAAGCAATTTAAAGATAGCCCTAAACAGCTGCAAAAGGAGAGGAGAGGGGGGTGGTTGGTGAAGGGAATAAGCCAAAATAGATGCCATAAACTTTAGCAGATAAAAAGCTCAATAATCTGACAGAAAAAGTTGACTTCAATGGCCACACAGGAGAAGGCAACTTATTTGACAAAAAAAAATCTTCGAAGCCCTTTCAATCAATCAGTGTCCACAGAAGAATTGTTGTAACATTTCTAACGGGTATGAATCTCAATCACCAACGGGTTATAAACAGATGTCAATAGTGGATAATAAAAGCGGACCTGCGGAAAGACTCCATTTGTTTGGCGACCACTTCCATACATAGAAACACACCATTTTTTCTTCGCATTCGGGGCAAAATACTCCGCAACAAATTTTCTCCAAAATTCGATGTTGTTGTCCTTCATTAGGAATGGATGAAAATCAAAACAAATCCACCAAATAGAAAAAATTAAATGATAAAATCAATACTTTTTGAGATTACTGTAGTAACATTCTTACCTCAGGCCTGTGTTGTTGTTGATACATGTAATGTGTCAGACGGCGAGCACACATTCCCGGCTCATACACAGGTTTCACCGGAGGCCTTATCGGCAAATTCTGTGCCTGAAACTGCGGCTGCAGCGGCGATCTTTGTTGAGGAATAGCCTTTAGAAGTTGCTGCTGCTGCTGATGTTGAAGTTGCATAAGCCTCTGTTGATGCAAAAGCTGTGCGGCAGCTGCAGCTTGGGGTGACTGCCTAGACATTTGGAGCAACTGCTGCTGTTGCTGCTGGTGCTGTTGTTGCTGTTGTTGCTGCTGCTGCTGCTGTTGCTGCTGTTGATGTAAAAATAAAGGTGAATCTGAATGCTGCGGCTCCATTTTAACAGGTCCAAGGCCTCTCATATTTTGAAGCTGCTGTGGTTCCAATTTAACACTACCTAGAGTTCTTAGAGCTTGCAACTGCTGAGGATTTTGTTCACTTGTTACTTGGGGCTCCATTTTGACAGGCCCAACACCTCCTAATCCTGCTCGCATAGTCTGAAATTGGGGTTGCTGGGGCTGTTGTTGTTGAGGATTGCTAGGTGCCGAAAATTGCTGCTGATTATGTTGAAATGTCTGAGGATCAAGTTGCTGATTTTGCTGTGGATCTGTCAACATCTGGTTGCTCGAAGGATTTGAAAACTGTTGACCCTGAACATGACCGGATGAATTAGGGTTTGTTGGCATGGAAGATGAAATGAACGAAGAGGCAGGAGAACTAAATCCAATCCCATTTCCAACAGAAGACAGTGGATCAGATTCAGCACCACTATCCATATGCCCCCGCTGGGTACTTCCAGGACCAGAGAGCCCAGGATTTGGCCCCCCATTAGCAAAAGATTGTTGTAGAAGAGATGAAACATTCGGCATGTTCCCAAGCATATTCATGTTGCCAAACTGAGTTCGTGGGGAAACCATAGATGAAAAAGCACCTTGCGAAGGCATTGCGCCCCCTTGACCGCCCAACAATCCAGAATTAGACCTCAATAATGAGGCAGGCACAGACTGAGAACCACCAAGTGGAGTAGGAGGACCTGGAGGTACCATTTTCTCCCAGGAAAACAAAATCCACAGATACTAAATTTCTCAAAGAAAGCTACCTACAATGACATGAACCTAAAAACCCCACCTTCACAAACTTAATTACTTGAAAATGCGGCAAGCAGAAGAAACACAAAGCCCACAAACTTCAAATCAAACAGCACAACAAAATGAGAACCAGGGTTTACACATTCCCGAGTCTATTGTGCACAAAAACAGAGCAAAAACCTTGGAAGCAGAGCACACTGCTAAATTTATCTTCCACAACAAGTCGAAAATCAATAGATTGCGGATGTAACCAACCACCTGAGGCTCCAAACATCTTAAACTCCTTTTTCTTCTGCTAAAATTGCAATCTGTATCCCACTCTAGCATCAATTTCTGTGGAACAGACAAAACAGCTGTGTCATTCATTAATTCAAGCTCAAATTGCAACAGTATCTGGAAAATAGACATTCACCCAAATTCCAGAAAGGAAAGAGCACAAAGATGGAAAAAGTAACTTATAATGATATAAAATGATTATGTCAATCTAAATCTTAAAACTTCAAAAAAATTAACAAAAAAGTCAATAAATTACCAAAAAAATACAACACAGAAAACCTAAAAGCACTAAAAACGAACAACCTCGCAGTCATATCCCAACACCACTAGTCCGCTTAAATCAGTCATAAACTATGGTTCCAGTCGGATTTAATCGAATTCTCATGAAGTTGAAGAGAATTAGGAAAGTAGAAGAATTCCCAAAATTAACCCAAAAGGGCAGTAAATACTAGCCATTAACGAACACTCGATCCATAAATGAAATCCAAAAGTTCATAACTTGATCCGTAAACTAATATCCTGAAACATTACTTACTTCCAGAGCATTGAAGAAACAAGAAAACAATCTACAACTTGGAAGAACACAATACAATTAATCACACATATCAACACCGACTTCAAAATCAAAAAAGGAACAAAAATGAAACGGAAAAAGAAGCAAACTTTACCAAGCTCACCGCCGGAAAGATTTCAACAGGGCGAAAGCGAAACTGCTTCCCAAAATTCAAGAGATTGAGACTTCAAATACAAGATAAAAATTACACACTGTATACACTCTTCTTCCTCATCAACATTTCCCGAATTAAATTAAAGAAAAAAAAAACATTACATGAATTTGGAATTTTATTTTTAATCCCAGCTACAGAGTTTGAACTCCAGAAAATCACTTTAATAAATATATTTTTTTCCTCTTTTTCCGATTCCGAGTCCGGCTCTAGAATTTCACTGTTGTGTGTGAGAGAGAAAGAATAAAAGAGAGAGAGAGAGAGAAGGAATGGAGAGAGAAAAGCAAGTTTTAGTAGTATCTACTTCAGCTGGTTTTCTTTTCTTGGCTGTAGTTTTTAGAGAGAGAAAGTGTTTTATGAGAGTGTGTTATTATCATTTTCCATTTTATAATTTCTTTTTTTTTGTTGCCAGTGTGTGAGTGTGTGAGAGAGAAAGAGAGAGGATGAGTTCTTGCGGACGTCAAAACCTGCATTCGATCGGATTGAATTTTCTTCTTCATTCATTTTCCAACTCTTTTCTCTTTCTTTTTGTGTTTTCCCAATTTCTTTTTTCGTTTTAAAAATTTTTTCATATTGTTTTGTACTTTTGTTTACCTTTTCCCCCTTCTTCTCTCAAAAGAAGTCAAATCCTCTTCTTCTCCACCTCATATTTTGATATAATAACACTATAAATATCAATAATCTATGTACACCTCAGCAATTGTACTTAATAAAATAAATAATTATTATGTATGTGCTTAGATGTCATGATGAATGATGATGTTATAGATGATGGTGGTAGGCGGTGGAATGCTGCAGAATGGTTTTAGTGATCACATTCCAAGTCTAAAACGAAAAATGCAATATTAATGTATCATATAATTTATCCAATAAATCTTTTTTATTTGGGATTGGGTGTCTAATCAATTTTAATACTTTATTAAGAAGTTTATAATTTATTGCTAACCTTGGTCTTCCTCTTTCTATTTCACTATGTTTATTGACATAAAAACCGGTACATGACCATGGAGAATTTGACTTTTTAATCAATCCTTTTTCTAATAACATATTCATCTCTTTTTTACATAATTCCAAATATTCAGAATTCATTTGTCAAGGTCTTGCCTTTGTCTTAATCATTGTTTTTTCATCAAAATCATCTTCATATGGAAGACTAATTACATGCTTTTTCCTATTCCCAAAAGCATTAGGATGTTCATTACAAATCTCAATAGAGATATTATTATAGATTCTCTTAATCTTTCCCTGTAATTTAGGATTTTTTAAATCTTCTTCAATTGAAAATATATTAATTTTAAATTTTAAGAAATTAATCTGATTATTTTTTCTAAAATTTTTAAGTTCATTGATGAATCTCATATTAGATTCAGTTATAAACTTAAAAGATACAAGTTTTTTATCATATGTTCCTGTGATATTATCAATATCAATATGAGTAATAGGGAAAATCCTCTTTATAAAAGGAGTTCCAAGTATAACTTGGCTAGTTATATTTTTAGCTATTAAAAAACTTTCAGGAATACAAACTTGATTATTACAAATATATCCTTTAGACAATTTATAATTTATGTCTAATGCTTTTCCACCATCATGTCTTACCACATGAGTAGTTTTTTTAAAATATTTAGTGGGAATTATTCCTTCCTGTATAACACTAAAATCCGCACCACTATCAATTAGTGCTATTAATTCTATTTGATAATCATGATCTATTAATAATTTAATAATAACATGAAATTTAAAAGAAGTGATTAAATCTAAAGATCCTAGAAAATTCTCATTTCCCGTTTCACTTATTAATATATTTTTATAAGAATCTACTTGTTTCTTATTTTCTAAATTAGAAACTCTATCATCTAAACTCTTATTAAGCTTTTTCAGAATTTTTATTTCTTCTTTAAGATTATTAATCTCTTCTCCTAATTCACTTACCGTGGTAGGAGCTTTTTCTATCCTATTAGATTTCTCTTTGAGTATTTTATATACTTTATCCATTGTATATGGATTATTATCTATCTCTAATGATTCATCATTACTACTACTTGGAATATCACTAACTTGTTCAATTATCTTTGATCTTAACTCTTGATCTTTTATTGATCTCAAGAATTCCAGAATATTATTACTAGTTAAAACACTAACGTCTGATTCTTTGAATTGAGATATAATTTTATAAAATTCTTCATTTTCATCATTAATTCCTTTTATGCAACTATTAGTTCTCTTACAAGGATCACAACACTCAGTTTTATCTTCTGAACTTTCTGATGTATAACTTTACTGATCTATTTTAGCCTCATCTGAGCTTTCTGATTCAGATTCTGAATTTAACAAATTAATTAATTCATTTTTAATTTCCTCGCTAATATCTAAACTATTTATTCTTTTCTTTATTTTGCATCTATTTGCAAAATGTCCTGACTGTTTACATTTATAACAAATTATATTAGCTCTATCTTTCTTCTTCTCAAGTCTTTTCATTTTCCTTATTGCTCTTTTATTTAATTTTTCTTGAGAATATTTTCTCTTTTTTTTTCTTCTAATACTTATCATCTTTTTTGAAATTTTTTATCATTCTTTTTTCTGATGGAATCTCCATATCAAATTGACTACAAAACTGACCTAACTGTTTTCTTTCAGTCAATCTTTGTCTTTTAATTTGTTGATTTAATTTTATTTCATTACACAAGGCTAAACCTTCCTGAATGCAAGTTCCTACCAATTTTCCATAAGTATAATCTTCATAAGGAATATTTATTCTATCTTTTCTTAAGATTCTCCTAACTCTTTCTGCAAATAAACTTGGTAATCCATCTATAAATTTAGATTTCCAATGAACACTATTACTATCATGTAATTCCATAACTCTATTAAGAAAAGCATCTCTATACCATCTAAAATCAGATAATGTTTTACATCTTAAATTTTGTAATAAAGTACGAATATTTTCACTTTTATCTGAAATTCTTCCTGTAAAATGTTCTAATATAGTAACAATCAGTGTATAAACTGCATTTTCTATAATCTGATATCCTTCTTGTTTAACCGTTCTATAAATTTCTTCTTTATTTTGTGGAGACAAATAATGGTCCCACCAGCCTTTTAATTGGTCAGTAAATCCTGCAACTATCATTTTTGTACTTCCTCATCATTATTTCCATTTGTTTTACAAATAGTACAATACATTAACATTCTATGGGCCAAATTATAAATTTATTTTTCGGTATATCCATCTATGTTCCATTCATAAATACACTTCCCACTGTAACTATTTTTTAATATATATTCCTGCTCTTCATATAAAATATCTGCAGGAGAAGGTCTATTATAATAATATAACCTCTGAGTGGGTTTATTAGCATACTTATTTAATTTATTAATATCATCACTTATTATAGTTCTATAATCCTTATCTTCTTCTGATTTTTCTGAGAATTCTTCTTCCAAAGTATTAATCTTTAAATTTTTAAATTTAGTATCTAATAGTTTCTCTAACTCTGACAAAGATTTTAATTTAAAATCTTTTATTTCAGGTGGTGGTTGAAGAGTTGGTGCTGCAACAACATCTTCTCTAGTATTACTAAGACTAGTGTCTCTATTATTTTCTATTAAATGTATTAATTTATCTAACCTACCTTGTAAAGATAAAATTTGTTCTCCTAAGACATTCAAATAAACATTTGTATAATTATTCTGTTCTATTATCTTATTCATCTATTTTACAGTTATAACCAATGTTTCATCTTCAAATAATTTTGAATATGCAGAAAAGCTCATAACATTATTTTCCTTTTCTATTCTAAAAGGTTGTTGTGGAGGAAATATTGTTTTTAGCGTATTTCCATTCAAGAGTTTATAATCTCTTTCCAATACACATATATGTGGTTCAATATAAACAGATATAAACCATGGTATAAAAGGAAATAAGACATTATGATATGATAAAAACTTATAAAATTCATCCAAAATAAATTTTTGTATTTCTAAAGAGAAATTTGGGAAAAACCACTTTCTAAATGGTTCCCATCTTGGAAGATTAAATTCTTCTTTGAAAAATGTCTTGCCAAAGAACCTGGACTGAAATCTATCTTATTCATATTGAAAATGCCATTTCTGATTCAGTTATTTCTTCATCTTTAGTGTTATAAACACCTTTAACAATATTTTCTTTATTTTTTACCAATTTATCAACATGACGATTATTCTCATCACGTTCACTAACTTGTGTAGAAACATGATAAGGATGTTCACTGTATGAGGTAGAAGCACCACTAGGAATAAAATCTTTATCCTCTATTAGAGGTGAAATATAATGGGTTGAATATGATCGAGATAATCCAGATCTATGAGATCTGTTATTATTCAATAGGAATGGATTATTCCTCATTTGTATATAAGCATGTCCTTCAGGAGTTTGTTCAATAGAACTTACTTCTGTATTTGTTTGTGACTGGATATTCCTAGTTCTTTCTATAACCCATTGTTCCGGAATGGGTATTTCATCTCATTTAATTGTTCTTCTAGTAGTAATCTTTGATTTATTGAAATTAGTTTCAATTAAAACTATTTCATTTATATTTTTATCAATTAATTTACAATTGGGATTTAAAGTCATTAAAGGTTTGTAATAAATTCTATAACATATACAAATCAATTCTAATCCAGTCATATAATTATATCCATGAGTTTTAACATTCAAAGTTAATGCATCAAGTATATTAACATCACTTAAAGATAATGAAAGATTTAGATAAACATTAAAATAAACTGGTACATGAGCTAAACTAGATTGTATTATCCCCATTAACGATTGTTTCCAATTTAAATTTCGAGCATCTCGTAAACAAGCTATGAAGCTTTCTGGTAATCCTTCTATTGGTTTAAAAGCAATTTGCACCAACCAATATGAATAAATTTATACAATTGACAATATCTATTAATATCATCTGATTGTAACAATTTAATTTCTATTTCCTCATTATCTAAAGAAATAAATTCTTCAGTTGTTTTAACAACTTGTTTTAAACCTAATTTTTTAAAAGTACCTAACTGATATACAATCTTTAATTCAATCTTTGGAATTGTCCATTTATTCAGCTCCTCTAAATTTTCAGGAATATCATACTCTTGTTTTAGACTATTTTTAACAGTCTTCTTGTTTTTCTGAATTAAATTCATTTGGAATATCAAAAGTGGTTGTTGGGATAAGATTCAGTAATTACAAGTCTACTCATGACTCTGATACCACAACTCAGGAAAGGAACAAGAAGCCAGTTAAGTTTCAAGCCAGAGAGAAAATATTACAGAGTGATTTAGTCCGTCAACATGAACAAATATGAGCAAACTGGGATCAACGCCCTTAATCCATACCCGACTATACATTTTTAAGAATAATGATACATGAAAATAAAATTCATAGAAAAAGAATAAGAATGATAATGCTCAATAATATTTTTATTTTTCATTTGGGATTTATACATTTAGAATTAGAGAATAATTTAGAAAATTGACGCTGATAAGTTTTTTTTTTTTTTTGTAATTTTTGTTCTGCATGTTCAATATGTGTGAACTTTTTCAATACATTTTATTTGAGATTAGACTCTCATGAACACCCCTCATTACTAGTAGTGGCAAGTAAGATATTGCTACGACACACCTATATTGGATGACTACGCAATGTTAATATTATAATATATATATATATTATAAAATTGAAGTGTATGATTGGCTATTAGGTCTAAAATACAATAAAATTTCTCTAATATAATATTTTATGGGCCTCAAAATTTTTAAATACTTAATGATTATAATTAGTTTGACTCTCTCTAACTTTTTTTTCCATCCTCGCTAATTACCGTCCTAATTCTACTAAAAATAAATAAATAAAATTATTTTTTTGATTAAATGTAAATATATTGATTAATTTCAAAAGGACATATATTTACAACCAACCTAACTAACCCACCACTGTTACGTGATAAGCTAACTACTAATACCAACATATACATTAAACGGCTCTTCCAAAAAATTTTTCTCATTTTGAGACTTCTAGTACCTATGCACTAATTCACTCTCAACTTCATTTCCTGTCTAATAAGGTCGTCCAAAATGGTTATGGATTTTTTCAGCCACCGATTTTAGTATTTGAAGCCACGAATTTTTAAAAATTTCCATTTTACCCCTGTCATTTTGTCCAAAGTAGAGAGAGAAAGAGATGAGTGACTCAGAAGTAAAATAAAAAAACCAAAAAATCAGACCGAACCGAGCAATACACGCGTTTCGGTTGAACCAAGGACGAGCAATATACCCGTTCGAGTTTAAAAAAAAACGTGTAGGACGAGCAATATACGCGTCCCGGTTGAACCAATGATGCACAAGCAACACGTCCGCCTTGTCGCCCGGACGAGCGAGCCACGCGTCCGGTTCGAGGCTTGAACGAGTTTCTTGCCCGTTCTTGGTTCAACCGGGACTGGTATATTGTCCGGTTCGAACCAAGCCGGAACGGGTATCTTGCCCGTTCTGGTTTTTTTTTTATTTACGTTTAATTATGTTTTTTTATTTTAATTTTTTAATCTTTTTTTTGTCATTATATTATTTTATGTTTCTTAGTTGATTATTTGTTTAGTAAGTTTAGTTTTTAATTAGATTAGTTTTTTTGAATTAGTTATGTTAACAATTAATTTAGTAATTAGTTAAATTTCATTTTGTTTGGTTTATTTAATTAGGAATTATATTTTTAATTTTATATGTAAATATAATTAATTATAGTAATTTAAGTTTAGTTATAGGAAAATTTAATTTAATATATTTTTTTGATTAGTTAAATATATGTTTTTTTATAAGAAATTTATTTAATGTAATTGTATGTTTTTTAATTATTTATTAAAATTATATATATTATTTATTTATTAAATAATTGTAAATTATGTTTAATTTAGTTTATTATAGTGAAATATTATTTTTTTTGTAATTTTATGTTTAATTTGCAGGATTCTTAGTTGATTATTTGTTTAGTAAGTTAGTTTAGTTTTTAATCAGATTAGTTTTTTTGAATTAGTTATGTTAACAATTAATTTAGTAATTAGTTAAATTTTATTTTGTTTGTTTTATTTAATTAGGAATTATATTATTTATTTTATATGCGAATTTAATTAATTTTAGTAATTTAAGTTTAGTTATAGGGAAATTTAATTTAATATATTTTGTTGATTAGTTAAATATTTGTTTTTTATAATAATTTTTTTAATGTAATTATATGTTTTTTTATTTATTTATTAAAATTTTATATATATTATTTGTTTATTTAAATAATTGTAAATTATGTTTAATTTAGTTTATTATAGTGCAACATTGTTTTTTTTTTGTAATGTTATGTTTAATTTGCAGGATTCGTTCGAAGATTTTGGTGGCGATGGTGAAGATTACAGTGTAGTGTTTACTACAGATGAGGAATTTTCAGAAAAGGATGATGCGGTTGATTGGGTGAAAGGCATGGGTTTAGCAAATGGTATGATAATAAATATAGTTTCTGGCAAGAGAAAGAATGGTGTTTTGATGAGATGTTGTAAAGGTGGAAAGGTCAAGGGATCACTTGAAGATGGTGAAAAATATGTCTCAATGGATTCGAAGACACAAATCACTGGCTATAAATTTAAGGTATATGTGCACTCACTTGGTGGAAAGTGGCGCATTCGTGTGTATCCTGGTGAGTTTGGAATGCATAACCATTCCCTGTTTGACGAAGATCATCCCACGAGGGGCCTTAGTGATGGAGTGAAACAGGTTATACAGTGCATGTCTAAAGATGGGTGCAGACCATGTCAAATAATGGCTGCGATTGAGAGGAAATTTCCAGATGAAAAAGTTAACAGACGGCAAGTCTATAATTACAGGAAGAAATTGCATAGTCAGGGGTTCCCGGTCTTGGGTGACTCGAGTGCCATGGATGTCGCGACGAAGACACTATCGGTGGCGAAGCATCATCGTTACATCATTATGACAGATTACAATCAGGAGACAGGTGTGCTGACTCGTATTTTTTTTTGCACATGCTGATTCTGTCAATTTATTTTGCACTTATTTCTGAGTCGTCGGGATAGACTCTACATACAGACGAACAAGTACAAAATGTCGTTGGTTGAGTTTATTGGGATGACACCGTGCAACCAGAACTTCTTGATTGCATATGCCCTCTTGAGTGACGAGACTGGTGATAGTTATTATTGGGCTTTGAGACAGTTTAGGGATTTACTTTCTGGTCATCTGTCTCCGGCTGTTATTGTTACTGATCGGGAACCGGGGTTGATGGCGCCTCTGAGTGTGGTTTTTCAAGATTCATGCCACTTGTTGTGTGTTTGGCATATTTATGAGAATGTAAAGCGACATCTCAACAAGGAATTGAAGTTTGACGCCAAGGTTGCAAATGGTTTTGCATATGGGTTGTGGAAAGACGTTGTGGAAGCTAAGAATCAAGATAACTACAATAAAGTTGTTGCCGTAATAAACCGTCATTGGCACAATTTTCCGAGAGTTATTAATTATATCCATAACACATAGTTAGTGGTTGACTACAAATTCGTCAAGGCGTGGACGAATGTTGTGTTTCATATTGGCAACACTACTACATGTAGGGTGGAGAGCGCAGCACAATCAGTTAAAAACTTGGCTGGAAACATCCACTACGTCGCTGGATACACTTTGGGCTAAGGTGCACTTGGAAATTCAGACTCAGCTAACTGAAATACAGTAATTCTACTCCATTATGTTCTATTTATTATATATTTAGTATTTTTGGCATTTTTCCTAGAATGTTTTACAGTAAATAGTTACAAAAAATATAATCCTACATTCAGGTACAAACTAGAATACTTGAGACAGAAAATTGGCACCCATTATTGCGGTTTTCTACTGAACCGCTTGAAGTGTCAAGTTTCACATACATGTTTGAAAAAACTGAACTCTGAGTAGTCGAAGGCGCAAGAGTGGAAAGAAGAAGCGAATGACAGATGTGATCATGTGGTTTACTGGACTTGTCGAATTCCATGTGCGTGCGCCCTAAAAAAGGCTGCAGATGTCGGCACATCGATTACTCTTAAGCATATTCACCCATTCTGGGCGACCCTTAATATCGGTGAACAGGCTGTTACTGGTGGTTCGAGCGATGTGGATGACGATGTTCTTTATACCAGACAGTTGATGGAAGAGCTGAACGAGTGTCCTAAGGTAGTACGACACACGGTAAATAAGGCTCTCCACGATATTATGCATCCAGACCAGTGTGGGTTCAAACAACCCGAGGAGGTCAAGAGACGGAAGGGGCGGCCGAAGGGGGCTAAATCAAAGATAAAAGCAACACCTAATGTGTGGGATTACAGGGACGACACTCAAGGAAAGTCGACCACAGTGACGAGCGATTCAAGTAAGAAGCGCCCCTCGTCTTCAGGTGGTCGTACAGATGCATCCACAGGTACAAGTTCAGAACTTATTTTTGCGTCCATAATTTATTTATTAATATTTGTTCCAATGAACATTTATTCCGTGTAATTTATAGATATTTTTGCGAGTGATATTTCACAGTATAGTTGCTACGACCTTATTCTATGGCCCATTCGGACATATATTACCAATTACCTTGATGTTGCTGCCGATGGCAATTGTGGATTTCGCATCGCAGCGAGTAACATGTATTTGTGCCAGGACCAGTGGGCGATGGCGAGAGAGGCAATGGCGACCGAGCTAGAATAGAATTGGCATCTGTACAAGAGAATTTACAGGTATACCTACTTTTCATTTTCTATATTATGATGTTTGATGAACTGTAGTATTTTGCACAAATAATTATACATGTGAATGCAGGACCACCGTGCACGAAGAAGTCAGTCGTATACGGTTGAGTGGATTAGTTTTCGCACCTCAGCACCATTGGATGTGTACGACGGGCTTGTTCGTAGTTGCGACTATGAACAATGCAATTGTGTACTTTTACGGTGCAGGAGAAGAGAACCAATCGCTAAACTAGTCATGTTGGACTATACTACATGTCACTGTACGTGGAGAGGCAACATGTCCGGCATATCGGATTGGGGTATATCACCTTGGTATTTACAAGCACTTCATTCAGATAAATTTGGACGGTAAATTTCCAATTCCATCGATCGATAATAGGTGGACTAAAGGACATGATCCTAGTGTTGCTGGTTGGGAATTACCACTTCTTCCTAGAATTCAAGAATGGTATAGGTTGGTCCCCTTGAATCCTCGACGACCTGTGGATGATAATGATTACACTGATCTTAGTTTCTTAGATTAGATCCATGCTGGTTTGTTTGTCGTGATGATGATAATGGTGTTATCTATTATCTAATTTGTTTGTTTTTTATGTATCGTGCAATAACATACCACAGGGACATAAAAAAAGAACATACCACAGGGGCACCAAATAAGCTAACTAATATATAACACACAATACTGGCAAAAAAAAAAAAAACTAAATCTAGTCCAAGGAAAAAAAAAAAACACAAATTCAATCTAAGGAAAAAAAAAACATGATTCTAGTTCAAGGAAAAGAAAATAAACACAATCATACGACACTGATAATGCTCATGGGGCCTTGTAATAACGGACCATCGTATCTTGCAGCTTCTCATCATATTCAGCAGCTAGATCGCGATCGGACACTTTCACCTTTTTAATCAAGTCCCTAGTGATTTTCCTCAATTCATTCATCCACTGAAGAAAAAAAGAAACCAAAAAAAGGTTAAACTATAGATAATATAGAAATGTATATCTAAAAAAAATGTAATTAGAAATATAACTTACATAATCCTGAATGCTCCTAGCTCGTATGGAGTCTCAAGATGGGTCAGTTGTCGGCAACAGAAATGGATGTGAATACTGCATGTACCATTCAAGGTACCCCTCCTCACACTCTCCTATGATCTCACCGAAATTGAAGCGCCTCAAACCCAAATTAATACACCTTGACTCCGGGAATCTCCTCCAAATACTGAGTGTGTCAACAGCTGAATGCTCTACAAAGTACTGGATAGTTCTAGGTCCTCGGAATGCATCATCAGGGGACATGGGCGAACGAAGAATATTCTGTACGTATCCAATCTGACGTATAACTCTGTCCGCCATGTATGGCTCTTGCAAGTTCCTATACATTATCCACCCACTTTAGATAGTCCTCGGAACTATTCCTTGTTGGCTCGTCAAATGGCTCCTTACCTGCAAAATATTATTTATATTATTTATAAATATAAATTTAAAAAAAAATGAAATACGGTAAAAAAAAATGTACCTCTAACTCGGTGAACCTGTCGAGACGCTCCCTAACCTGAAGAAGACGATCTGGTACAGATGTCAGCCCCGCATAAGATGGTGGTATCCAGTCATGTACTCTGGGCCTGTCATTACCCGTACGGGTAACTCGCCCTCCCTGGGGGCAGAAGCACGGGAAATACTCGTAAATCCAAGCCTGCAGTAGGGTCAAATAACCACCTAACTGAGTGCACTTTGCTCTACTAGCCATCCCTAACTGACGGTATAGGAACGCAAGCGTAGCAGGGCCCCACGAGTATGAACCCATATTTTCGATCCCAGCCATAAGCTCATTTACAAGTGAAACACTGCACCTCCCACCACTCTTGCCCATGAAGAATGTCGAGGCTAACAATACCCACAAGAAAGCAGAGGCCTGGGTATTCTCGTCCACTTTCTGGCATCACTCAAGGATGAACCAATCAGAGACACCGTCATGACTCCATTTGTAACCATTCGAATCCAGTCCTAAGTATTCCTGCTGCATGTCCCCTCAACACATCTGTCTCGGGCGTACCTAACACCAACTCTCCCTCAACCCCAATGCCCAAAATATAATAAACATCATGCATCATGATGGTCATCTCCCCGAAAGGCAAATGAAATGAGTTTATGTCCGGCTGCCACCTCTCAACAAATGCACTTACTAAGCCAAGATCAATATCATCATACGAGGTATGAAGAAGGTGACCCAATCCAGTCCCCCGAATCTTGCCTTTCACTACATCATCCATATTCCTATACCACAACTTTAACTTATTGAGAATCTTTTCGCCTTTAAATATCTTCAAGATGGGTCTATGATATCCATGCCATAAATGATAAGCAATATGCCCAAGAAAGCTAGGAATCACGCTACCATCTTTCGGCCCACCAGGTACTTCATCTGTCATTAGCCATATAGCCGGATCAATTTCATCAGAAACTCTCGACTGGCTGCTGCCGCCTGTACCATGAATAAGTAAAGCAAATATTATTTATTATATTTTATAAACATACAACAATTCAATAAATACAATTGAAATAAACATAATTTTTAATAATTACAAAAATTAAATATAAATAATTAGTACCTGATGATGCAATAGTGGTAACAGGACGTGTAGATACTCCAGTGAAGCCGGGACCTCGGCGAGGGCACTCGGGATCAATGAGAGGGGGAGGACGTGTAGATACTCCAGTGGAGACGGGACCTCCGCGAGGGCACACGGGATCAATGAGAGGGGGAGGACGTGTAAATACTCCAGTGGAGACAGGACCTCTGCGAGGGATCACAGGATCAATGAGGGGGGGAGATGCGTGACTAGCGCGGGAGGGACGAGGCCGACTACTTGTGGATATACCCTGTGGGAATTGAACAACACTAGGGAAAGAGGGACTACAATGTGGACTGCGCCACTCACCACTAACAGGAGAAGGGATAGGGGTAGGGGGAGAGGGTAAACCTCCAGGACCAGGCCGTGGACAACCAAACAGGAGAGGAGGGTAACTGCTAAGATTGCACAAGGGCGATCTCTGTGATGCGCACCCATCCTAACACTAACCTGCACATCATCCTCATCAAACTCATTCTCCTCATCCTCATTCTCCTCTTTCAGGTCGTCCTCAGAATACTCGGGTACATTAATCGGCTGACTAGACCGAGTCTCAAACGGTACACCACCCATATTTACCTGAGTCATTTTCATTCGCTTCTTTAACTCTTTTTCCTCTCTTTTCTTCCGACGACTCATGGTCAGATAACGCGCATGAACCTTACGCTTACTAGTATCTTCAGTATCACTAGTATCACTATCATCATCATCATAACAATAAACCTATAAACAAAATTTTAGTTATCATCATGATATTTTCCTAGTCTAAACAAATAATTATACAAATTTTCTAAATCCTAAATAGTTTAATAATTAAGTACACTTTGATTAAACATACAATTCAGATAACAAAATAATTATATACATAATATAAAACTAATTATCATACAATAATTAACTAAACTAATTAATCTATTGTACTTAATTATAAACTAAAATAATTTACAAACTATTTATTAAATTACTATGAATTAAATTAATCCAATAAACTAAACTAATTTACAAAATATTTATATTAAACTTATTTAATCATAAACTACATTACAAACAAATTCAATTAACTTCTACTATCATAAACTTCTACTAATAACCAATTAAGCTAAATCACGAACTTTTTAAAACTAATTACATTAAATATATTAAATTATAAACTAATTACATTAAATTATAAACTAAATTAGTAAATTAAACATATTACACATAAAAATAAAAAACTAGTAATGAATTAAAACTTAAAAAAATTCAAAATTAAATTAAATTAAAAAAAAATTCTGACAGGTCCGGTTCTCCGACCGGATCGATCTTGGACCGGGCTCATCCCGGGCCTAGCTACAAAAAAACGCCCGTCGGAACGGCCAAGGAAGCCGTCCGGCGGCGCTGACCGGACGCCCAAGCAATGCGTCCCGGTTCAAACCGGAACGCGCATGATGGAAATTTGAAATGAGAGGGACAAAATCGAAATAAATAAAAAATGGTGGCTTCAAATACCAAAGGTGGTGGATTCAAAAACTAACACCCTCCAAAATTCGCTCTATACTTCTGAATTTATCAGTGAAAATTGTATTGTTTCTTTTTCCCCAAATGTGATAAATAACAGAAGTCATGGGTGTCACGCCCTAAATAAGGACCTAGTTGACACACCACAAGTACAACAATGAATGTTGTTTAAGGTCATACAAGTAAGGCAACATATTTATTCTTAAATGTCTAATATATTAAATTCTTGCCAAAAAGGCTTAAATCTTATTTATCAAAAGTAATTTGCAGCAGAAATTAAATAATTATAAAACTTCTCCGGCTTTCCTTTCTTTCTCAAATGTGGTGACAATCTACCATTCTTCCCCCGTGGGGGTCAAAACGTGCAAGTTCAAGGACACACATAAAATTAAAAACATTTCACAACAACATGATCATTTCAAATATCATTTCATAATACAGTTGAGAATTGAATGACAGCCTAGTGGTTAGGGTGTTGTCTTTCTTAGTAATAGATCATGGTCGATTCCCACTAAGAGTATTTAAGAGAGAGGGGGATTTATCCACATTTAAGTAGGGTTTACTGGGGTGAATTTTAAAAAAATCATTTCATAATACACTTTCATTTCGTAAAATAAGATTTCCTTTCACAAAACTTTCAATTTCGTATCATGATACTAAGACTTTTCCATAAACGTCCACTCCCAAGAACTTTAGACATAACTTTAGAAAATCATTCGTTTCCATAAACATTCGCTTTTGAGAGATTGAGACATAACGATGTACATTATCATGATAACATGTGCACAGTTTCCGTTACAAGCTCTCCGAAATTAGGGACACTTTTAACTTAAGGCTACTCTCGCCTTTCGTTATCTTTGGACTTAGGTTTTCCAGCTTTTTCGTCCACTTCTACATTTACTCATTGATTTAGGCTTTCCAGCCTTTTCATCCCCTTTCACTTTCTATGATCACTATCACATGTGCATATAGTCTCAATTTCGAAAATATTTGTTATACATCAAAAAAATATTTATGAGTTTTCTAATATAAGAATAAAATAAACATTCAATTTATATAAGCACTTAAACGAGCATGTGTATCGTGTGAGGGAAAGCACCTTTATGGCTTAAGCAACTGCTTCTTCGAGCAATTCAAGATCTTTCTCTTGACCTAACATCATGTATAATCTTTTCTTAACACTACTTTCTGAATGCTTAAACTGTTACTATTGCCTTATCTGAAACCATATTGATATAGAATATCATGTTTTGATATCTTATTAATGGTGTACAATGATCACATTAGAAACAATCCCCATGACAGATTGAAGGGGTCACAAATGATCCCTTTAAAATCATATCTCTTTAGACAAGATCTTTCGTAATAATTTATTAGTTTTTTTACCCTTCATAAAAATATACATAAAACTCCAAAAATATGTTTTAAAGTGTAACAACCCTTTGGAATAAGTTTCTAGAAAATTCCATAGTATTTCTTGAAATAATCTTCTCACAAAAATTAATCACAACCAACCGTCCCTTAGAATCGGTAGAATAGAGTAGTCAAAATGTTTGTTGCCAAAAGTAAACATATGTAATAGGAAAAATTTTGTAATTTTTATATCTTACAAAGTACTCTAAGAGATTCAGATGGATATAAAATTTATAAAAATCGGAGTTTTGGTTATAGAAAAATAATTAACGAAAGTTGACAATTTCAGTATTTTGGACTCAGAAATCGGTTGAGTGTAGAAATTCTATATCTCTTATTATACTGTTCAAACATAGTTGATATTTTATATTTCAAGACCTGAACATGTTAGAAAACATGATAAAATTTTCAGGAATTTTAGGTTTGTATAACAATTATTATAAATTGTGTAACTATTCTGTTTAAGAAAAATCATAACCGCAGCAAGCCCATATTATCAATTTGTTTCTCTAAGTTTACCCATCTAAAAATTCTGAATCTTTCATAGATTGATATAACATAGTAGGGAGCTTAAATTAAAACTATTGATCTGACTTAAAGGGCATGCTTCAAGGATTACCTCGTTGGACTAATGATATGCAACTATATTGTTAGGATTCTTCTTAAGCTTTCCCAAGAGTCTTAGGACCTTGAAATGTTGTTGAGGGAATGGTCTTTCCTTCCTTATTCTCTTATATTGTTTATTCTTTTCTCTCTCGAATATAATGTACTTATTACCTCACTCTCATATTTTAACTTTGGGATGGATCTGAAAATCGTTGAGGGTATATTGTTAGGGTTTTCGACTCTTGGGCATCGAATGACGTAGGAGAAGACAAGATGTTGGATAAAATTGAAGGCTTGAATACTTAAATAGAATTTCTACTAAGCTTTACTTTGCCTGGAAGTTTTGGCAATCAAATTATCACTTTTATTTTGTTCTAATGCTTAGAAGACTTGAGCATTTGGGTGACCAACGTCCCAGGTAAAATTTGCAGCTATAGGCCACGTTTATGCCACAAACTTGGTGCCCAAGTATTTATTTAATTTTCTTTCATTTTCTTTGAAGATTTTTATGCATTTGTTTAGTTTTCGTCTCCTTTTTTCTTACCATCACCCAACTTTATTTACTTAAGCATAAAGCAGCAACATATTAGCCACGCAACGTTACCTTAATGCTTTGTCCCCAAGAATTTTAAATTGTGGCTTAAGTTTATATTTTGTCAAATTTATTTAGTTATTAATTACTATGATAAAAATTTAATTGGATGTAATATCTCATTGGTAACCTTTCTTAACTCATGTTTTGATTTACTAAATTGTTCTCGTATGTGTTGTGCTTAGTGTAACAATGATGAATAAAACTAACTAAATAATAAAAATCCGTTTCATTTACTTTTAGTTTTAAATCATTCACTCGAATAATTTCCTGAAATTTTTCGTGTATTACAATGGCAGCATATACGATTTTCCTTTTCAGGACAAGGTTTTCCCATATTCCAAGTATTCTCTTTCTCCATTGTCTGTGTATGCATGAAAGCCTCTTAACACCAAGTCAATTAAGAACAGCCGCCAACACTTCACTTGAGAACTTGCATTTAAAGAACAAGTGCTCTGAGGTTTTAGGATTTTGTTGGCAAAATATGCAGTTGTGATCCCCTTTTAGTCTATTAAACTTAGTAAGTCTATCTTTAGTTAATAGCTTATTCCATTAAAACATCCATAGGATAAATGTGTTTAGTGATATTATACCCGGACTAGATGAATTTTGTAGTTGGGCTTCTTGTCCCTTCTCCTAACAACCATTTGTAACCAGTAGCAATCGAGTAGTTTCCAGAAACTGTATGATTCCATTTTGTACCAGCAAATTCTTCTTTAATCTCTCTTTCAACTTCAGTATTTTCCTCCAATGCCAACTACAACTTTGCTTGGGCTAGATTTGCCAAAAATCTTTCTTTTAATATAGTTCTCATGGAGCCACTCGATCCACAAATTATCCTTTTTGCAGGCTATACACCATACTTGTTTTATCAGAACAGCTTCATTCCATAGTCTGATATCCTTGATGTTTAGACCACCCTCTGATTTTTCGCCTCATCACACCTTGTCCAAGCTGACCCTGCATTGGCATGTATTTTCTTGATTCCCTCCCCCTCCCCCCCTTCCCCCACCCCATAGAAAGCATCTGTATATTCTTTTTACTTGTTGCAAAACACTTTGTGGTAACATGAAGAGTGAGGACTAATAATTACTCATTGTCATTAACATTGAATTCACCAATTACAACCTTCCTGCATAACTAAGGTGCCTAGTACTATAACACCTAATTTTCCCAACTATTTTGCACTAGCAGTTCACAGTCCGGCGTATTCCACTTTTTGGGGGATAGTGGAACACCTAGATATTTCATTAGAAATTTACCAAGCTTAAATCCTATGAGCAGATAAATCTGTTTTTTCATCTAATCTATTACAACTCCACAGAATATTTTAGACTTAGTAGTATTTGCAACCAGTCTCGTAGTATTAGAAAACCTTTTTAAGACCACCATAATCTTGGTGGTGGTATATAGATCTGCTTTACAGAAGATCATCAAATCATCTGAAAAGCAAATGTTAGTCATTTTTAGGGACTTACATTGACGG